ACGAAGCCAAAGGATCTTCCTCCCCTTTCTGCATCTTCTTTCTGTTTTTTAAGACTCATCTTCAATTCCTCCAGGAGTGATGGCATTTTAAACACTTTTGAACAACCACCCGATTGACTTTAAGTAAAAAACAGAAAAAGAAAGAAAAAAACAATGCCAAAAGCTTTTTTTTAATATCACCAAATGATCCCAGACTGTTCCTTCTTGTTTCTTTCCTTTACTTTTCCTTTCCGTGGGTTACTCTATCTTTTAATAAGATTTCAGTTATAATGTATCCTCGGGAGTCTTTTCAAAGTTTCGCTGTTAATCCTCTTTATTTTTCTAGATGGCACTCCATTTTTTCATTATTCCAACTCCCACCCTTTTGCCTCCACTCTTCTTCTTTTTAGGGCTTGCTTAGATGTTCTCTGTTGTTTATCCCGGTTTGTCCTGCTTTCCTCTTTGTCTTCCTCCTGCACAATCTTATCCAGTCGGGTTCTTCTTTGAGGTGGCCATTTCTGACCACCGCTGCAACCGCCTTTGGGAAAGGGAGTTTAGACCAGCCAAGGAGGAGAAATGCAGCTCCCCTCCACTCGGCTAGCAATCTCCCCCGTCTTCACCACCTCTATGGGGTGGCTTCAGCCCCAAATTCGAAGTATTGGGGCACTCCAGCGGCGAGCACAGATCGAAACTGCGCACGATCATGGATTTCGGTCTGTCTCTGAAGAAACCCAAACTGGAAGTTTCGAGAACGAAGGTTCTTATGGTTGTTGTTGTTTGTTTGTGAGTGAATTTATTGAGAAAATGAATTTGCATTTGCTTGTTTCGTTTTTGCAAACAACCCTGCAGAGGCGTGGAATCTTCAAGCCATCTTTGTTTTTAAGCTCAGGACCAACACGGGAAATATCGAGTATTTCTTCAAGGGAGATGGTTGATGCTTGATTTTCTCTGATGATGTTTCTAACATTAGAGATGTCATCATTGTCATTGACCTCTAGACCAAATAAGATGGCATTTGGTCACTTCCGTTCACACCCAACAGCTTCTTTGATGAGGATGGGGATATCAATATTTGTAGGATTTGTTCTTTTTGTGGGTTGAGTTTTGGTTGCGGTTGTTGAGTAGAGATGTTTGATGTTCATTTTTTAGTGCTGTCTCTGTTTTTTCAAGGTTTGCCAATCTAGTTTGTATAGTGTCCGGGGATGCTACAATGGTGTCAAGGGATGTTATACGTGTTTCAATGGTATCAACTCTTTCAAACAGAGTAATGTATTTTTCTAGTTTGGGTCTACATGGTGGACAGAAATATGGAAAAGCATTGGCAGATGTTTTTAGGAATAGAGCCATTTGCTTGGATAATCCTAAACAATTATGGTGAGCATAGTTGTTACAAAGAGAATATTTGATGTAATCTTCATTCTCCTTTAAAGATTCCTTACAAATAAGACAAGAGCAAGAGTCTTGTGATTCTTTTGTAGGGGGTTCTTTCTTTTTAGGTTAAGGTTTGACATTGGATTGTTTTCCTGGCATGGTGTGTTTGTTCAGATGGTTTGTTGATTAGGTTGTTCAATCAAACAAGGTATTGTGGTAATCAATAAAGTAATATTGTTCCAAACAGTCTATTATACTAATCACACTAGTCAATTAATTTAACTAATCAATAATCACCCTAATTATTAATTACACTAATCAATAAACACACTAGTCAATTAATTGTCCGAATCATTAATTTGCACTAAACATATAATCATACTAATATTCAAAATAGTTAACCAAACTAATCAATAACCACTAGTTTATGATAATCTATAATAATATATTACTCACTAATGATAAATAATTGTAAAAAATAATTAATCATTTAGTAAGATCAGTTAATCAATTAAACAGAGTTGTATTGGGAAAAATTAGGGGATGAAGAGAATAATGGGAGGAAGAGGAGAAAATTTGGTTTGGATGGTCCTGCAGAGTATAGGAAGAGGGCATATATTAGGTTGGAAGTATAGATGAAAGTCTTTTGGCAGAAGATTACTCTTTACTCGTTTGTTCAGATCTTCGGTTAGTGATTTTTGGGAACCAGATCTGTCTTCACATGCATCTTCTTGTCTTCAGGCATATATTAGGCTGAAGGTAACTATGAAAGTCTTTGGCCAGAAGGTTAATCTTCACTCATTACTTCAGATTATCAGTTTGGGATCCTAGGGTCTGTCTTCTCACGGATCCCCTTGTCTTTGGCCAGCGATCTTAGAAATTAGGCTACTGCATGAATTAGCAGGGCTGCGCTCTGAGATCAGGACCTCCGATGTGGGATTTGACGATTGCAGATGATCAATGATGTAGGCAGAAGTTTGTGCAGCAGTTTTACTGGAAGGTTAGCGCTCCAGGGTCAGGCTCTCATCCCTTTCCACAAGACAACTAAAAAGGCCCATTATAAGCACCCTTGAGGAAAAATGGAGGTCTCAGAGATGAGAATGAGTTGGAACAAGAGTGTTGTTCTCACACAATAGTGGGATATAACACTCAAATACCTCAAGCCACAATAGTCATGTTGGATTCTGGAAAAATCCCTTTTTCCAGCATGTTTTATAATATGTGAACCTGTAGGAATTAAAGAATTAAAAAGCTGCTTAATTTGCAAGATTTTCTTGTGGCCCACAGCATTTTAAGTTATAGTGTGCTATTTCGCTATTTTAAGGGACATATTGTAGCATGCCCTTTGTTTTATTTCCCCATATACTTTTAGGAGACCCCATTCTGTTTCAATGAGTGTATAGCTCTGAGGGTTTTAACATTACACATGTGAGTTGATAAGCTTGGCTAAGTTGGATCCATGGGGGGAATGTAGAGGAGATTTTCTGTGACAGTCATTTCTCTTAAGTGTTGAAAAGAGAAATTCTTGCTTCAGGTTAAGTGCAGCTTATGATGACTGTACGAGGAAATTCATATACTGTAGTTTTCTTGGTAATGATATATAAGTGGTTTAATATTTTTTCTGGGATTTTAAAAAAAATTCCTATGACCTATTATGTTCAATTGTGGTTTTTTTTTTTAAATTAGTCAAGGTAAGCTATATGCTACCATCTACCTTAACACCTTGATATACAACTGCATTAAAACATTGAGCTAAATGTTTGAGGATGGTATCATTAGCCTTCACCAAATTAAGATAATTTGCACAAATTTTCATAGCTTCAGAGGTTAGGCTTCCTGTGATACTTGTATGGATGAACTGTAACCATATTTCTATTATTATTAATTGATAATATAATAATAATATAATCATCCTGTGACAAAATCTGAAACACTGTTAAACAGCCACATCTGCCTATCTCATGTTCTTGGAAAGGACTTGATGGGTAGAGTCCAGTCTGAACATCTGGCTGACTGTGCAACAGACAACAACAACAACAACAACAACAATAATAATAATAATAACCCCAAATGCAGACTCTGCAAAGAAGCAGATGAAGCCATTGATCACATACTGAGCTGTTGCAAGACAATCGCTGAGACTGACTACAAACAATATCACAACACAGTTGCTCAGATGGTCCACTGGAACTTGTGTCACAACTTCCATCTGCCTGTAGCAAAGAACTGGTGGGATCATAAGCCTGAAAAAGTGGTTGAAAATGAGCATGCAAAACTATTGTGGGACTTCCGAATACAGACTGACAAAGTTCTGGAACACAATACCCTGAATATCATGATTGTGGAGAAGAAAAAAGTGTGGATCATTGACATTGCCATACCTGATGATAGTAGACAAGAAACAACTTGAAAAAAGTCACCAGATATCAGAACTTGAGAATCGAACTGCAGAGACTTTGGCATAAACCAGTGCAGGTGGTTCCAGTGGTACTCAGCACACTGGGTGCTGTTCCTAAAGACCTCAGCAAGCACTTAAAAACAATTGGCACTGACAAAATCACCATTGGTCAGCTGCAGAAGGCCACCTTACTGGGATCAGCTCGCTTAATCTGCCGATACATCACACCGTCCTAAACGCTTGGGAAGTGTTCAACAAGTGATTTGTGATACGAAGCCCAGCATGGTTATCTCGTCAGCTGTGTAGACTGTCATTTTTGTGTACAACAACAACAATAACAATAATCATAATCATAATAAATGGCATTATTATTACTGCACAGTCAGCCAAATCTTTAGATTGGATTGGCATTTTTATCCACCTATCAAGTCCTTCCCAAGGACCTGGGATAGGCAGACGTGGATGCTTGATGGTCTTAGAGGTATGTACCAAATAAAGCTGCCTTTTGTAATTGACTGGTGGTGATTTTGGTACTCTTAATGTTTTGGAATTGTACCCAAGGCACTTATTACTATTAATACTATTTAGTTTTATTTTTCCATAGTTGTTCTACTTTTATTTAAGGCAGCGGTGGTCAAGCTCTTCTTGACAGACAAGAGTTGAAAGCAATTATTTGGATTTGTCCGTTGGTTGTTACCTACACTGTGGAAAGCACCATGTTCCTCAGAAAATATCCGAATAACAAACAATGTCTGGCAGAAATGGAGAGGGACTGGTGAAGGCCAGAAAACTCTGAAAAAACTCTGTGGCTAAAATACAGTTCTCCCTTCAAATGCCCTCCTTTTCCAACCGTCTATGGGGATTCTCAATCATCCAGGTCATATTTGCCATTTTCCAAAAGGCAATTGGACTTTCTTTCTTTTTTTCTTTGAAAACTGAAGTAACTTCTTGGATGAGAAGGGAAATGTTTTCAAAGAAAAAAAACCCTAGAAAGTCTAGCTGCCTTTTGAAAAAAAAACACCTTTGGGACTCCTTTGCCAACCTTTAAAAACCTGCTGCTAAACTTAGTTAAGGGTCAACCTAGAAAGGGAAAGGGGGTGGTTTTCATAGTATGGCTTGAAAAGAAATCAGATGCTGCTAGAAGATGGGCAACCCTGGGAGAAATCTCACTTCATTCTATTGTAGTTGGCATTTGTATGTCCTTGAGCCAGGGAATAAGGCAGGGATGTAATACCTTGCATTCTCTCTGCAGCCATCACCTGTGGTCACCCAGGCAATCCAACAAATGGCCTGACCCAAGGCTCTCAGTTCAATCTCAATGATGTGGCCAAGTTTACATGCAACGTTGGATATCGCCTTGAAGGGACTTCCCAGTCCCAATGCTTGGCTAATGGCCAGTGGAATAAACCCTTACCCATCTGTCGCAGTAAGTTGTATTTCTCTATCCCCATCCTTCTCCTCCCCGCTTTATTTCTGCAATCTAAACCTGTTCTACCGCCCGGAGCAGCATCTCTTCTGATGGAACTCCCATCAGCACAACCTGGCTGTGTTTCTTTTCAATGTGTCCCAGAAGATTCTTGAAAGAAAAAGGGGTCTTTAGCTCGGTACAGTTCAGCTTCAGTGTCATGTGGAAAGCATAGATAAAAAGAAAAGTCCCATGCCTAATGGCTTGGCGGTGATTAAAACTAAAATCAGACTATAACATTATTTATTTCATTTAAAAGATTTGCATGGCTATCCATCTTAAATCACAATTCTGGGCGGCTCACAATCACATTAAAATGGCAAAAAGTATAAAATCTTAAAAACAGAAACTAAAAGAAGTGTGTCCAAAATACATAATTATAATGTTTCAATCATTATTTAAATGAGTGTCGTGGAAGGCATAAAGCATTTAGAGTGTTGTTTAGTTTTGCTTTTTCAATGAGTTCTAGTTAAACAACCACCTCTTTTCAGTACAATAGAAGAGAATATATATAGCTCTGGGATGAACTCAAAGAGCACAGGCACCAAGGACTCCACTCTTCACAATTCCTACTACTTCATATTCTGCTACATGAAAAGGACAGTGCAGTGGCTCAGCAGTTAAGATGTTGGACTTGTCAGCAGGAAAGCTGGAAGCCCAAATTCGAGATCCAAGCGCCACATGATGGGTTGTGCTCCCATCACTGCCTCAGTTTCTTGCCAACCAAGCAGTACAAAAACATGCAAGTGTGAGTAGATAAATAGGTACCACTTTGATGGGAAAGTAACAGCACTCTATGATGTCATGCTGACCACATGACTGGAAATGTCTTTGCACAAAACACATTATGCACGTAGACATAAGCTACCAAGGGAGGTACATGTGCGCTTTGTGAAGAGAACCACTAGGGATATACTGTATGTACGAATGAGGGATGAGCTGCTAACATACAAAGGTCATGAAGTGGTGACTTTAAAACAGATTCCAAGGAGGGTGAGAGAACAGAAGAGGAATTATCAATTCCTCGCAACGCAATTGATTAAAAATAACATACCATTCAGATGGCTAACCCCAGAAGGACTACTGATATCGTGGAGAGAGAAGAAATTTAAAATTAATTCTATTGAAAAGGCACGTGAATTCTATAAACGATATGTGAGAACGGAGGAAGAACTGTTCAAGAAAGTAAGGAAGATACAGAAAGTAGAAGCCTAGAGGATACTACAGTAGAAGACAAGGAAATAGAAAGAGAAGGAACAGAACAGAAACAATTGGAAGAGGAAGAAAACAACCGACTGAAGAGAGAATTGAGAACAAGAGTAGTAGAGTACCAGCAATAAAATGGATGGAGGGATCACCCCTCTATTCCTCAATATAAATGGAAACAAATGTACAGAAAACTCATAAATCAAAATGCAGGTATTACATGTCTATAGGAAGTACATATTTCAAAAACAATACAGACACTTATTAGAAATAACCAAATTGAGTAAATTACATTTGGCCCTGATAAATCAAAAGAAGACAGGCGTTGCAGTGTAGGTCAAGAACTGGTTAAATCCAAAGTTAGTATACAATGATGAAGATGGAAGGATACTTCTCATAGAAATAACAATAGAACAAAGGAACGTATTATTGGCAGTAATCTATGCTCCAAATACCAGTCAAAAGGAATTTTATTATACACTCCACAATAAAATCATAGAAACTGAACTAGCTAACATATGCACAGTAAGGAATGATAATGCAATGTCCAATATAGAAAAGGATTATAAAACCACTAAAAACAATAAGAATAAGAAATGAACCTAAAAAAGGCCTGGAGGGAATTGAATACATCTAAAAGCCAATTTACTTTCTTTTCAAACCCACACGAATCATGGTCCAGGATTGACATGGATGGATTTGGAATTATTGGAAAAAACAGAAACACTAGAAATTTTGCCAAACACCTGGGCCAACCACAATCCGATTAAATTGATTTGGAGAGGAAAGAAAAATACAGGTAGATGGGCCTTTAATAAGAGTATTCTCAGAGATAAAGAATATATTCAAATGATAAATAAGGAACTGAAAATATTTTTTGAAATTAATATGAATGAACACACAATGACTCAAAAGTTATGGGGCACAACAAAGACATATGTGAGAGGTCTGACAATAGCATTTGTAGCAAAAAAGAATAGATATAGGAAGAATCAACAGATTGCTAGAAAAGATAAACTGGAAAAATTGGAAATTAAATTGCAAAAATATCCGAGTAATGAATCAACTAAAAAAGAATTAAATTTGACTAAACATGAAATAAACTTAAGTCTCCAAGAAGAAATGGCTAGAAAATTAAAATTAGCTAAACAACATTACTTTGGGAACGTGAACAAGCTTGGGAGATGGCTCTCCCACAAATTAAAAAAGAGCAGGAGAAAAGAACTATAATAGCCTTATAGGATGAGAATGGAATACTGTGTTCATAATCCGAGCAAAAGAAAACAATAGCCCAATTTTTTTTTGCTACTTTATACAAAAAAGAAGAAATTTTAGAGGAAAACATTACACAATATTTTGAGGACAAAGAATTACCTATCATATCAGAAACTGCTCGAGAGATACTAAATGATAAAATAACCTTAAAAGAGGTAAAAGAGGCAATTGGAAGACAGAAAACCAATATAACTCCAGGACCAGATGGAATACCTGCAGAATTCTATAAAGAATTCTAAGGTATACTAGGCGACCTGCTGGTAGAAATATATGATGAGGCCCTGAATTGTGCCCAAATACCTCAAACATGGATGGAAGCTCTGATATCCTTCATTCCCAAAGAACAAACAGATCCTCATCAAATTAGAAATTACAGACCGATCTCACTCCTGAACGTAGATTATAAAATTTTAGTGGTAATAATTGCAGACAGATTTTAAAAATATTCAATGATACTATTCATCCAGACCAGAATGGTTTTCTTCCAAATAGATATATTAAAAACAATATAAGAATAATAATGGACGTCCTAGAGTATTATGAAACTAAATATAATAACCAGATGGCATTAATATTTTTGGATGCCCAAAAGACATTTAACATTTTAAATTGGCAATTTTTGATCGAGCAAATATCATGGATGAAATTTGGTGAAAAATTTATAGGACTAATTAAAATAATATATTCTATACAAAATGCAAAATTGGTAATTAATGGAGAAACCACAAACAATATAAAAATAAGCAAAGGAGTGAGACAGGGATGTCTGCTTGCCCCATTATTATATATCTTATCAGCGGAAGCGTTGTTAACCCAGATAAGGAAAAATCGAAATATCCGAAGGTTGACTATTAAACAGGAAACATACAAACTGAAGCGTTCGCTGATGACATCTTCATAATGGAGGAACCAAAAGAGTCAAGCAAAAATTTAACACAAGAGATAGAGGCATTCGGTAAAGTAGCAGGACTCAAAATCAATAGAGAAAAGACTAAGATAATAACTAAAAATTGTACTAAAAAGCAAAATGAGGAACTGACAAAAGAATTAGGGATTCTTTTAGGCTTACAGCAAAATTCTCTACAATAAAGGCTGATAACTATGACAAGTTGATAGACCAGATACAAAAAGACCTAGATAGATGGGTAAATTTACAACTCTCCTAGATGGGAAGGATAGCCACCATTAAAGCAAATGTACAACCAAAATTTTTATATCTCTTTCAAACAGTGCCAGTCAAACTAGGGAAAAAATTCTTTGAAGATCTGAATAAAAGAATTAGTAAATTTATTTGGCAAAAGAAAAAAAGCTAGAGTAAAATACAATTTAATGCAAGATAGCAGAAGTAAGGGAGGACTGGTGCACCCAGACTTTGAGTTATACTATCAAGCCGCAGCGAGTACCTGGATCAAAGATTGGATTAACCTGGAGGGCAAAAGAATATTGACAATAGAAGGCTTCAATTTACAGATTGGCTGGCACGCATTTCTCTGGGATGGAAAAAATAAAACCCATGGCTACTTTCAAAGATACTGGATAAGGGACGCTTTGTTATATATATGGGAAAGAATTAAAAGAAACCATTAAGTGAAAATAATTCTCTGGCTATCTCCACGGAGGCACTAGTATATCCCAATGTTATGGATTTGAACAAAACAATAAAATATAAAGAATTAATAACAGATGAAGGCGACTTGAAAACACAGATACAATTAAAAACATAGGGAATTAAAATTGGGTGATAGCCATATGTTCAGATTCAAGCAAAACACAAAAAAGACAAGGAACAATTTGGATTTTGTAATACAGATCAGGAATTAGACAAAATTTTACAAGGAAGTGAAAAAGGATGATTACCAAAATGTACAATTATTTATTGAAATTTAAAATGGAAGAGGATAAAGTCAAGGAGAGTATGATAACATGGGCTAAAAATTGTGGCCACAATATTGAATTAGAACAATGGGAACAAATTTGGCGAACTAACTATAAATTAATGTTATCAGTCTCATATAAAGAAAATATTTATAAAATGTTTTATCGCTGGCACCTCCCACCGGCAAGACTTGCTAGGATGTTCCCTAATATGTCACCCAAATGTTGGAAATGTAACGTTAGCCAGGGAACATATTTTCACATGTGGTGGACAAGTCCTAAAGCCCAAAAGTACTAGCCTAAGATATAGACATAGTTAGAAGAGATGACAAACTAAAGATTAAATTCAACCCAGAGACCTTTCTACTTGGAATGATAGAACCGACATGGAGCAACAAACACCAGCATCTGATATCACATATCATTACAGCAGCAAGGATAGTCTTTGCCCAAAACTGGAAATGAACAATGACACCCACAGACCCTGCAATAACTAATAAAATCCACCAATGTGCAGAAATGGTTAGACTAACCATGTTACTAAAAACTAAGGAAGAGGGGGAGTTTTTTACAACTTGGAATATATGGTACGAATGGTTGTATAAAAAGGAAGTAAAAATGTCTAGTGAAACCAATTAAACAAACAAGGGAAAATTGAAATAAGGATAAATGTATATATAGCTATGTTAAGTAATATAATTAATCAATTAAATAAATATTGTATTATAATTGTAATAATAACATAAAAAAGTAAGGATCTAGGAAACAAGTTATAGATTTACTTGTAACAAATGACATTAATTGACACTAATAGAAATGTACACTGCTATGAAAACATTGCAAAAATGTAAGAACATGTTTCTGTTTTTTTAAAAAAAAATATTCTTTTTTTTGTTTTGAAACTTCCAATAAACATATTTTTTTTTAAAAAGGAAATGTCTTTGCACAACATTGGCTCAATAGCGTTGAAGCGAAGATGAACACTGCCCCCTATGTAATGACTTGAATAAAATCCACAGGGATTCCTTTATTTTTACCTTTTACATGAAAAGAAACAAAGCCTTCTCCTTATAGCACTTTTTCTATGAACAAATGGAAACAAGGGGGAAATGTGCAAAAAACAGAAGAGCAAAGGAAGAGATGGACCTCCCACTCAAATGGGGCATACCTTTTGCCAAGAATACCTAGTGTATCCTGAGCACCATATTACAATAAATATTTAAACCTCAGCATTAAATAAATTGGAAGGGCCAAAAGAATTTCATAGTTTCAGAGTATATGCATGACAGCAATACATAAATACAGTTGTAGTTACAATGGGCAATTGAAGGCCCTGGACCAAACACCCAACTAGACGAATGACAATTGTATTCTTGCTTAAAGATTTCAACTGGATTTTGGTTTCCAGATTCTTCTGGGTTTGAGTAATTCATTTTAGCAAAATCTCTGTTATTCTGTCTCTGTCTGTCTGACTGTCTGTCTGTCTGTCTGTCTCCCCCCCTCCCCCTTTCTTTCCCCTTCCCCTCTCATTCTCCCTCTCCCTTTTCAGAATGTTAAATTCTGAAAATCAAGAAAGACATACTGAGGTCCAGCCAGGTAGTTTCCTTTATTATTCCTCACCATTAGACAGAAATTTGTCAAACTAAAGCTACTGCTTGCACCATTAAGGATACACTCTGAGAACTTCTAGGGAGGAACTGTCTTATTTTTTTTTCTCCTGCCACAAACTTCCTTCTGCATAAACTTTATCATATTTAGCTCCTCTGAGATGCAACCCCTTCCTCCTAGAAATCCAGACTACATTCCATCACAGAGGAGAACCAAACGGTAAAATATTTTCACACTAGGATTTGATCCAGTGGCATTGGTGGGAAGGATTTAAAAAGTCAGGATGGCTGCTACAACTACATAATCAGAGCCCTACCCCTTTTTGATGTGTGTCGCATGGATTATACATGTGAAAAAGAGGTGGCACTTCAGTTGTGCCTTCAGTTTGCAGCCACTATATTTTTGCTTACACCCATAAATACCCCTGATTTGATCTACTCTCCTCCCATGTTATTTTCAAAACTGGAAGGGAAAAAGTGTTTTCCTTCTTTGTAACCCTTTTTCCTTTTTTGCTGAAAATATTCTTTTTATCTTCTATGATTTGCTTGCAGTTGTAAATTGTACTGATCCTGGACACCTGGAAAACTGTGTTCGTCAAGTGCAACCAAATGGGCCTCATAGATACAGCTTTGGAACAACCGTCTCTTATCAATGCAACCATGGATATTATTTGCTGGGCACCCATGTGCTCACCTGCCAGGGCGATGGAGTTTGGGACCGGCCGCTCCCTGTCTGCCATTGTAAGTTCCTTGCTTTCCTTTTGCTTTGATTTCCATCCAGTTCAGAAAGAGAATGTATCCTTTACAGGCTGTTTTGAGTTTGTAATGGCTTCCCCCTGCCCATCTTCTTGGCCCCATGAACAAGGGGAAAAAGAAACTTCACAGCTTATGCCAGCCCTCCAGAGTCTTAAGAGGAAACCCAAATTACGTATTTATTTTTATTTCAACTTTATTACTTTTACAAATAACTCAAGATAGCAAAAATATCCAACATATCTTCCTCTCCTATTTTCTCCACAACAACAACCTGATGAAGTCAGTTGGGCTGAGAGAGAGTGACTGACCCAAAGTCACCCAGATGGCTTTCATGGCTAAGATGGGACCTGAATTCAAGGTCTCCTGCTTTCTAGCCCACTGGTTTAACACGAGATTATTTATGGAGGTGGTAACGCCCCCATGAAGTAATGGACCCAGATAGGTTCCAGAAGGAGCTGGGGGTTATAACTGCAGATTTATTATGCAGCCCATCTGAGCTCTTAGTCACTGTTTGGAATAAGAAGGTGACTGAGGCTCAGGATAGGATTGCACCCTTGTGACCTCTCCTCACCTGTAGACCTCTCTGTGCCCTGTGGTATACAGAGGAACTGAGAGGGATGAAATGCATGAGGAGACGTCTAGAGCGCTGCTGGTGGAAGACAGGAGATGAACTTGATCAAACACGGGTAAGAGCTGCTACTAAGGCCTACCTTGTGGCGATTCATGAGGCAAAGTATAAATACTTCTCCACACTAATTCCACCTGAAGGGGCATGCTGAGGAATTTGTGGATTTTCATGGAGCTCCCCAACAGATTATCTCAGATAGTGGTGTACAATTCACATCCAGTTAGATGCCGGCGTGGTTGCTGATCTGGTGGAAGCTTCTGAGGCAGGTTCTTGCCCTGTTATCTGGGAACGGTTTGACCCTGTTGCTCCTAAGGAAGTGGACTGGATCCTAGGAAATATGTGCCCGAGCACCTGTATTTTAGACCCATGTCCCTCCTGGCTTGTGAAGCTTCCCAGGAGGTGACAAGCAGGTGGACTCTGGTGGTGATTAATGCTTCTCTACAGGAGGGGATGGTGCCCCAGCACTTTTAAGGAAGCTGTGGTCTGCCCTCTTCTTAAGAAGCTATAGCTGGACTCCACTCGGGTCGATAATTTGCGATCTGTCTCCAATCTTCCCTTTTGGGGGAAGGTTGTTGAGAAGGTGGTCGCGCAACAGCTCCAGAGGTTTCTGGATGAAACGGATTATCTCGACACCTACCAGTCAGGATTCAGGCCTGGATTTGGGACAGAAACAGCATTGGTTGTACTTTTAGATGATCTCTGGCAGGAGTGGGATGGGGGTAGTGCATCCATCCTTGCTCTACTTGACCTCTCAGAGGCTTTTGATTCCATTGACCATGGGATTCTCCTGGAATGGTTTCAGGAGATGGGAGTGGGAGGCCTTGTGCTGTCTTGGTTCACTTCCTTCCTCTGCAGCTGCTCTTAGTCAGTGTTGATAGGAGGGGAGAGATCCAACCCTCACCCATTGCTTTACGGGGTTCCTCAGGTCTCGGTAATCTCTCTGCTCCTATTCAATATTTATATGAAACCACTGGGTGAGATCATCTGTCACCATGGACTGAGGTATCACCAATATGCTGATGATACTCAGCTGTATGTCTCGGCCCATGGTGAGTTAAGTGTTGCTGTGTCCTCCCTCTCGCAGTGCCTGGAGGCTGTTGGGGGCTGGATGGAGAGCAACGGGTTGAAACTAAACCCTTGCAAGACCAAGGGGCTCTGGGTCTGAGGTTTGTTGGTTCAGGGAGAATTACCACCTTTAGTCTTGGATAGGGTGGCACTACCTCAAACAGACCCTGTGCGTAATCTAGGGGTTTTTCTGGACTCACAACTCCTGTTCAAGGAACAGGTGGTGGTCATGGCCAGGAGGGCCTTTGTGCAACTGCAGGTTGTGCACCAGTTACGCCCTTTCCTGGATTAGCGGTCCCTATTCACAGTCACTCATGCCCTGGTCACTTCCCGTCTTGATTATTTCAACGTGCTCTAAATGGGGCTGCCCTTGAAGAGCATCCGGAAGCTCCAGTTATGCAAAATGCAGTGGCCCACATGGTTTCATGCAGACCCCGGTGTGCACATGTATCACTTCTCCTGCAGGAGCTGCATTGATTGCCAATTTGCTTCCGGGTGGAATTCAAGATGCTGGTTGTCACCTTTAAAGCCCTTCATGGGTTATCTGAGGAAACATCTCTTGCCAGCGACATCTACCCAACCCATTAGAGCAAGGAGACAGGGACTGCTACGGGTCCCACCCCTGGGGGAGATACACCTGGTGGGACCTAGAAGAAGGGCCTTCTCTGTGGTGGCTCCATCTCTCTGGAATATCATTCCCCCATATATTAGAATGCCCCCCTTGTTAATACTATTCTGAAGGCACTGAAGAACCAGGTTTTGCCAGCAGGCCTGGGGAACCCAGAGAGGGATGGAACCCATCAGATGGCTAGTGTGACCCGCTGTCATTGGGGTGGGGGTGGGGGAGTTGGTTTTTGTTTGTTTTCTTTTTCCCCCAAATTTTGTTCTATTGTACTTTACTAATTTATTTGATTCTTTTTGTTAGTTCTTATTGTTTTTTATTTATATATTTTTATTTTAAATATGATTTTACATTGTGTAAGCTGCCTCAAGTCACCATGGGTGAATAGGCGGCAATATAAATCAAATCAAATCAAATAAATAAATAAATAATAAACTTCCCAGGGAATTTTTTTAATTTTGTACCAAATTTAATTAAATTTCTCTGTTCTCAACATGATAACACATGATCCATTGAACTCTGAGCTTTTCAAATTTGTGTGTAGTTGAGATGTTTGGAGGATCATGCAAAACTAACCACTGTATTCAGAATAGATATATTCAACTCTGGGGTAGCCTACCATGGAAAAATAGTGGTTCAAGATTAAAATAATAAGTTTTGCACGGTTGTAAAGGGGAAACCGGGGTCATTCAAAATAAATGAATAAAATAAAATATCCCCTTTAGAGTGACGTTTTAAAAAACCTTACACATAATATTGTAAGAATGAGAAAGGAGACATAAAAATTGAGAGAAAGAGAGAGACCTTTTTAACAGAAACCATCGCAAAATGATCATTTTTGTTTCCCCATTGTTGTTGGTTTGCTTATTTCTGCCCAAAGCCTGCCTGACTCCTCCTTTTTAGCAGGAATCTTTTCCCCTATTTTAAGGGAAAGCGTGAGAGAGGGAAGGGGGGGAGGGAGGGACGGAGGGAGGGAGAGAGAGAGAGAGAGAGAGATTGCTTCCATCATATTACAGCTTTAGCTTGTCACTTGGCCTCTATCAGCATCATGAGAATTCTCTCTGAGGGGGAGAAATAGGAGCCATTAGCCATTAGAGATAATAAACAAGGGAGAAGATAGGCAATTAGTGGCCTCTGGTTCTCCTGTTCTCTCTATTGTTAGGCTGAATTCCATCTCCTCTCTTTGGAGTTGGGAACCTCATCATCCTGGAGGGCAGGCGTGCCATTTGGGCCACTTCCAACCTTGTTGAAACCAGTCCCAGGAAGCCAGGCCAATGATGAGGAATTCTGGGACTTACAGTTCAGCAACATTTCAGATTTTGGTAGTTCCCAGTTCGCTTTACTTTCAAAGAGTTCAGAAAATGTTTTTGACGTCTCCCGGGACCCATTTTTAACACCTCACTTGATCTCAATGAATGACTCATTCACTATCTATCAATCCTCCCTCCCTTCACTAGATGGTGGTCGTGGATATAAAGTTTGGAAACACCTCATATATACATATTTGAATTCCCAAAGAAAGCCACACAAGATTATTTTGATGCGGTATTTGGAGAAGAGGGATCAGAGCTTCCTAACCCCCTTCTTGTGCCAGCTAAAACAGAAATCAACTACGGTTATACCTCTGAGGAAAAGCAAGGAAGAGAAGATCAGAGATGAATGCCACCTCTAAAATTACATCAATGGGGCCAGTATATGCATTAAACCCCTGCAGCTATTGACCCCCCCACAAAATGAATTTAGAGTGAAATGCCTTTCTGTATTTCTCATCTTCATCTCTTTCCAATGTCTTTAATCCAAAATTCTTTCCCTTTTAAATGAGTACATTCATCTGCACTTACATTTTTTTAAAAAATCAGTGGATATTTTAAAATATATATGTATATATTCATCAAACGGTCTGTCTCAACTCAGCCCTTAACACAATTAGCAAAGACTGAATTCTTCAAGCATCCTTAGGAGGTTTAGGGAATAATTCAAGACAGAATATCGGCCTGAATAGAAGAGTTTCTCCAAGGGTAGATATTGGACACACCATCAGTCTGCTAATTAATATGACTAATGACTTCCAGGGAAATGTTACAGCTCAAGGGAAGACACCAGCCTTATATTTATCAAGATGTGGAAGGTCCAGATTTTCACACTTAAAATACAAGGTAGTTTAGTTTAAGTGCTCCGCCTCTGTTTCCTTCTCTTAAAGCAATTAAAAGAGCAAATGTCTTTTTAATTTAATTTCTTCAACACAGTCTGTTTTCCTGTCTTGTTGGCATTTCATCTTGCCACCATGGAAAATTGATACATGAAGCCCATTTTGCTGTAATTAGGGTAACAAAACTGCTGTGCAAGTAAGCTTAAATAGTTGCCCTCTTAGGCACTGACAGAATCCTAAGAATTTATCTCAAGTGGATATCACTTCAGCATGGACATAAAAAAGCAGGACATTTTGAGAAAAACAAGGGTTTCATTGGAATATTTCAATTAGCTAAATGTAGAGTCTTGTGCAACGTGTTTGAAAGAAGTGCTTTGCAGCGTGCAAGAACACACAGCTTGAAAAAATAGAAGATAATAATAAAAAATGACAGGAGGAGACAGGTTGACAATATCACTGATGACACATCCATGATCTTACAAGACACAAAGGAGCTGTTATTGGCAGACAGTCCTGCTAAAATGATGCCATTGAAGCCCAAAGAATCAGAGGTGACTGAGTTATTGAATGCCAACTATCTGAGATCTACGGAATGTCCTGGACTTCATTGTTAACCAAGTTGTGGCATTTTGACAGACAGACATGGCTTTTTGAGCATTTGGAATGAGTAAATAACCCACCTGTCAGCAGAGTTCAAAAGATCTGAAAGTACTGGTGAAGTCCACTTATACTTTCTCTTTCCAATTTTCCCCCATGGAAGGAATACTGCATCAAAAAGGATTAGAGAGCTCAACAGATCTCCTTCAAAAAAAGACCATGAAAACAATTTAGACCCCACCACAGCAAGTCTATAGAGATGAGTAAAAAAAATGAAAATGATGGTGATGACTATAATCAAAGACCTGGCCTTCTTTTTCATGCATCATAAGGGGGACATGTGTAAAAAAGCAGGGGGAGAACTCTATTTATGTGGTGGAGACTTCCATCATCACATTTTTTACTTATTCCAGATTTAGACCCCTGTGCCAGCTTTTGTCCAAACATAGATCCAATACAACATATGGAAGTGAGTTTGGAAGTTTCTGTTGAGTGGTATGAGAGAAAATCAGTGGAAAGTAGTTTTAGAAAGGAAATACTGCATAAAATAAGTGCTTGGAACAAAGTAGGAAGCTTTGTCTTGTCCCCAGATGAAGAGTTCCAGAAGAACAAGGAAGTATAGTTAGTCATCTATGTACAACCACAGCTGGGACCAGAATTTCCATTGCTAAGCAAGACAGTTGTTAAGTGAGACATGCCCGACTTTATAACTTTTTTTTGCCATGAATGTTAAGCAAATTAGTGCAATTGTTAAATTAGGGCAGTGCTTCGGAATTTTGGCATCGTTTAAGATTATGGACTTCAACTCCCAGAGTTCACCAGCCAGTCAGATCCAATCCCACTCAACTTCTTTCAAGAATAACCAATGTTCTCTAGCACCTCTCATTGGTTGGGTCTTTGCTCTAAAGCAGTGCTTCTCAAGTTTAGGTTGTGTGGATTTCAACTTCCAGAGGCTAGCAGGGGAATTCTGGAAGTTGAAATCCACACTTCTTAAACTTGCAAAGGTTAAGAAACACAGCTCTAAAGCAATGCTTCTTTCTCAACCTTGGCAACTTTAAGATGTGGGGACTTCAATTCCCAGAATTCTCCAGGCAGCAATCTCCTGCATTCAGGGATGGATACCTTATCATGAAGAAACACCATTTTCATCAAGCCATAATTTCAACCTGTTAGAACTGATCAAACTGTTGAGGACACAGAGGGAGAATATGCTACCCCACTAAAACTCATATTCCTGACGATTTCCTTGTGGAGAGACCAGTTCACTCTTCAAGAACAAACTTCTCACTCATTTAAATAATGTGCCATGTCAAAGTCTGCCTTCCATTTTCTCATTTTTTCCCATTATGAAAGAAGCTTCTGTTCTGGCATTATTTTCATGATCTTCCGGATGCATGAGAATGGCCTGAGTCTTTTATTACTAGACTTTGGAGCTAAATTTTGCACAGGGTGTGTCAGGCTACAGAACTTTTCCCATTCACTCAGCTAGAATGAACTTATGAAAACGTATGAAAACGTATCAAAAAGGAATCCTTTATTGAGATGAGACAATTCATGTAGGAGTTCAAAGCAGCATCTGAGGTCTCAGGCATACAGGGATACATAAGGGAGTTTCCTCCCCTTATCTCGATGTGTATTTAGTGAAACAAAAGCCAGTATGTTAATTCCTCCCCACCCCTTTTTAAGGAACGATCTTTTTCACAGTTTCCCAGGGCATATCTAATTCCCCCCCACCCCCTTTTCAGAACGAACTTTTCCAGAGATTCCCAGGACACATCTCACTCTGGAATTTTTATGATCTTCTCATCTCCTGGCTGTGCCTCTCAGAGGTGATAGTTCTGGCCATCTGGCTTTTCTCCCTCCATTGTATCATGTGTGAGTTACACAAATTCAATATAAGAGTAAATATATTCAGGTTACATCAAGAAAGGATTTCTTTATCAGCCCCCCCCCCGCCCTTTTCTTCTTCCATTGAAGAAACGACAGATACACAGATCTGACATTGTGCTTCTGCTAATGTTATGAAATGGAAGACATTGATGGAGATCTCTTGGCTGCTTTGTCATCATTGCAACAATGCTAAAACCCACTTCTCTTTCAAGCTGCCATGGTACAGTTTAGAAATGAGTTGTGGTCTTCCAGAATGATTCTATACATAGTATTCTTTGTTTCAATTCCTCATTTTTGATGGTATAAAACTGAAAACACCCATTGCTTGAGGTCACAACTTCATAAGAGAATTCTGTCTATAGCCCACAAGACAGTTTCAGCAATTGGCCCCATATTATTCAAGAAGAGCAGTGAACAGGCAATTCTCATTTCTGTCTAATTGGCTCGGGAAGAAAGGATGAATGGAAGTGGCTGACAATTGCATATTGTTAAAGGTATTTCATATGTGACAATATCACTGTGAAGAGGAATACAATAGATGTTATTTCTCCATTTTGGGTATTTCTAGTTAAAAGTATCTACTACTATGAGTGAATTCATTTTTAGAGAAATGTGGCATGTAGGAAACTGTTAATCTTTAGAAGTGCTGTCATTGTTGCAAGTTCTCAGTTTACATGAAATTTGTGGGGTATCTGTTCTTGAATTTGAGTTCCTAGGTGTTTCTTTTCAGACCATCTCTTTCACAGTCTTCTCAAGGACTTAACTTGGAGCTCATTCATAGAATATTAAAACACAAAAAGCGTGTTGTTTTGCAAATGCTTTTCATGTATAGCAGACCTTTCTTTTCTTACTAAATATATATTTCACACTTCCTGCTCAGATTTTTTAAGCATCATGAAGACTAAGATTTGATTAAATATTTTTTTTATTTTTTTTCTTATATGTATCCATGTCTTCATCACTATGTTTTTACTTATACTTATTATCTTGTAAGCAATTGACAAACCAAATAAATAAATAAATAAGAAAAAACAAAAAAACTCAGTTCAGATACCTGTCTTTTGAGGAAGCAGATGAAGAAATATTTGCTTTTCACGTAACTTAGACTTCAGAACCATCTCAGATATGTTGCCCATAACACTTCACTAGCAATAAGCATCAGGGAGAATCTGATCACTTGTTCACTATAAAAAAGGGGGATCTGCATTGCTTCTGATGATCTTACAAACATGAAGGCTGCTTGCTACTCTTCAAAGCAGTTGCCTCTTTAAGCAGGTTCACAGGGCAGTTGTGGAGGGTAGCCAACTAATCTATGGCACAGGGGTGTGGCCTCAAGATCTGTGGACTTCAACTCCCAGAATTTGCTGGGGAATTCTGGGGGTTGAAGTCCGTAAGTCTTAAAGTTGCCAAGGTTGGACATGCCTGATGTAACAGATTGAAAGAATTGCAGACAGATTACACTCCCATGCATTCTAAAGCAATTTTTTGGAATCAAACCCAAAGTAGCACACAACCCTAATAAATTTCCCTGTTATTAATCCTTGGTCTTCTTGCTAGAAGAGAACAAGTTTTATTTGCAAAGCTAAAGAATCAGCCTGCCAAATCTTGGTCACATGTATGAAATGGTCAGTATTCATGTTGCACTGTCAACTGCAACTCTCACTCTTCATTCAGACCTACCTTCTGGCCATAAAACTTTGTCCCCACGTCTGCTATATAATCTTTTTTTTTAAATATGGACATTATAGCTTGCCCACTAACTCTAACTGTGGTTAAACAAAGAATGACTTGGTGCAACGTGTGGATTCAATCACTTGTCAGCAAGACCCACCAAAATATTCTTTTGATCCACAAGATGCTCAAATACCAGGAATGCAACTAGCACAGCTCCATCTGTGTGTATAAATAAATTCAGCACTCATGTGGTTACAATGTGAAATCTCTTGTGTGGAAATTGCACAGATTTGTTGCAGTTTAAAACAAATTAAACTAAATTGGAAGGATCCTGTTGGGCAAGAAAAGAATTCTTGGCTCTGTTTCCAAATGGCTTTTGCTGTTACAAGTGTTCTTTTTCCTCTTGAATATAATAAAATGATAAAGTAGGGATCTCTGTCTGTATCCTCCATTAAAACATACATACATACGCCCGAAACTTTGCAAATTGCCTTCAAAGTATAATTTTTACTAGAACACAACATATACTAAAAATTAAAAAGGAATACTTGGTTTAATTAATTAGTAGCATGAAATTAAATTGCATTTCTATCTCACCTGCTTCTTTGTCATGCATCCCCCTTCCCTCTTATTAAAATGTGGCCTTTGACACATCACTCAAAGAGCACAAGAAATACACTTGAAGCAATAAAGAAAGTGGATGGAGAGAAAGGGAGAGAGAGACAATGGATGGATGGATGAAAGTAATAAAACTTTAGTTCAGGTTGAATTGAAAACTTGGTGCTCCTTTGTTTCAGTGGTCTCCTGTGGCCATCCTGGATCCCCACCTTATGCCCAGATCTTGGGTGATGTCCATACCGTAGGGGCAGTGGTGCACTACAAATGCCAAGAAGGCAGAAATTTGATTGGTAATTCCACCCGCACATGTCAGCTTGATGGGCGTTGGAGTGGCTCTCTACCTCATTGCTCAGGTAAGAAAGCAGCAAAAGAGGTGGTTACCAAGATGGGGGCATATGGGTTGATTTATTCTCATCTCTTTAAGTAGCATCACTCAATAAGTTTGCATTAAAACAATCTGGATATCAAGGAAAGTTTGCTTTGGAGTAGGCCTAGGTCCACTTGTGATAACTTCTGAGAACACCTTCAATAACGTAGGTCTTTTCCTGATCTCTGTTAGATTTCATACCAAATACAGTTATAAATCTCAACTTTCCAGTGACACATTCAAGAGAAAACAAACAACTGAAGTCCATATTTTAATTAATTAAAAGTTCCTGCCAGGCAGTCTTACAAATTATTTCGCTATAGGATTATGAAACACATGAAGGGCACATATTTTCAATATATGTGAAGCACACTGCATGGCTTAGGAGAAAAGAGTTTATAGTAGAAATTGCTGGATATTGGCTGTTACATTTTTTTTAAAGGAGAATCTCCATCATTTTAAGCTTTTCTGATGGGTCAGACATAACATCACTTCTATTAACCTTCAATCAGCATAGCCATGTTAACAGCTGGGTTTGAAAATTGGAGAAGACAAGTGTAGAAGAACATTTCTTCTTCAAAAGTTATCGTGTCTACCATGTGAATATTCCCAATGTGTAAATCAAACAACAAGGGAACAAGGAAGTTTCCTTAGTCTGGACCAGCAGGGCTTCGTAGCTTCTCATATTTGATATATGGCACAGTTTTAAAGGTCTTAAAGCTCTTGAAATAATGTGACTAGGATTCATAATATTTGCAGAAGAGGCTAGATTAGAATCAGGTAAAGAGGTTATTTTTTTCCTGATGCTGCTTGGAGGGAAAATATCGGCAGTGCCTGTAGAGAATAGGCAGCACACATTTTTACCTTCTCCTCATATTTAATATTCAGTGATGTTTTATCTCAGAGAGCAGTCCTCCTCTCCTCAAAACTGATGTCTCTTCATAGTTATGCCATGCAACTGCTATGGAGAGTATGCTGTGTTGAATACCTTCAAAAGATATCTAAACTCAGAAATAGGTATACCTAAAAGCATAAAAGAATCCCAGTTTTGATTCTGTGTGTTCTCTGCCCTGAGATGACCCTTGCCTGATCTATCCCATCTCTTGTCTCTTGCATGAATTCTTTGGAGAGCAAAATTAGCTTTTGTAGTTTCATGACATGCACCGTCAATGAAACAGTAATTTTGTCAGATACTCAGTTCACTTTGGACTGCAATTAAGGATCTTGAAATTGAAAGGTTTTCTACTGTTAAATTAGTAAATAAGTCCGCATGTGATGTAGGCTGTGGAGAGGTTCACAGCAGGATTGGGATCGAGTTAATCTTGCACCACTTTTTGATGCCAGCACTTACCCATTAATAACTTGAAAGTGTACTTTCTCCTCTGTTTATGAGAAAACCTTTTCATAAAGAAGAATTTTTTTTAAATGTTCTCACTAGATATCCAATCAGAAAAATGATTTGCAAAGTTGGTTTGGAGGGGAAAAAAAATGTGGACTATTGCTGGTGCTTTACATAAAAAAAGATGTATAGCTCAATTCCACACATGTCCAAAAAAGATTTTTTTAAAAAACATTGATTCTCCCACACAAGCAATGCAACAGACTTGTTTTGGAGAGCTGCGTTTAAAAAAAAAACTGATTGGTGGAAAGAGGCAAGAACAGATGGTCACCACATGAGTAAAGGAGCAGGCACCATTCCAGCTGTCAAATCATTCCTTCAAAATGGCTTCCTTGCACACACACACTTCCCTTTTGACAGTAAAGGAAATGACTTACTGGCTCATTGGAGCACCATTTCTCTGTTCCCGACAAAGCCAGCACCTCTGTTTCTGCAAAGCTAACAGGTGGCTTTGAAGCACCTTGTAATTTCTAGTTTGAAAAAGACCAAAATTGGCAAGCCAAAACCAAAGGAAAAAGATGTAAACAGGGTTAGCAGTTGCTGTGTACATCTGCTTGGAATTGTCCCAAGAGTTACTCAAGAGATTGTTTTAAATAGATTTGTTGCTTGAACCACTGATACCATATTTCTGTAGTGCTGTATTTTACACAAAAGAGCAGAAACAGAGTTGGAGAAGGCTCCACAGTCTGAATGATGGGCTCAATATAGGCTGTCAACAGAGTCTGGACTAGGAGTAACTCAAAAGCTACAGATGAGTTGGTCAAAGGAAGATGTTAGTAATGGAGAAGCTCATGTCCACATACTGATACTTTCTATATGTGCTGGGACCAAAGGGTAAGAGTTATGAGAGCTACAGGGCATCACACTAGGGCTGTAATGGCGATCCTATGGCACATGTGCCAGAAGTGGCATGCAGAGCCATCTCTGCCGGCATGCGAGCTGTCGCCCCAGCTTAGTTCCACTGCATGCGTGTGCATGTCTCTCACCAGCCAGCTGATTGTCAGGTATCTGTCACACATGCATGGGGAGAGGGGTGCATGCAGGAGATGCGCACTCATGCACGGGTGGTAGTGGGAGCACGGAGGGTCATGCACACATGCACAGGTGTGGGGGAGCATGGGAGGAGCACGGGGGGTTGCATGTGCAATGCCAGGAGGCAGGGGAGCGCAGGGGGAGCACACGCATGCACAGGGGCATGGGGCATTGCATTATGGGTGCAGGCATGCGTGCGCACACACACACTTTCGGCACGCAACAATGAAAAGGTCAGCCATCACTGTACTAGAAAGTGCTGAACTGCTGTCTTGCTATTTGTTTTATTTTATTCTTTAGGTTGTTCTTTATTTGTTTCCTTGTGTGCTTTGCTCCAAAATCAATGGGTAGCTTTGTTATTTTGCTACATCTTTACATCCTTGCTTTTAATTCCCATTTTTAAATAAAGGTTATTGGTGCTTAATATTTTTGAATTGCTGCTTAGATTAGTTACCAGCGGTGGAATGCAAATGTATTAACTGGACAATGAGCATCCTTAGGTTCCTAATTTATTTATTTATGTATTTGTGTCCTGCCTTTATTAGGTGATAAACAAGGTGATAAACTTATCCAACACACCTTCTTCCTACTTTCCTCACGACAACCCTGTGAGGTGAATTGGGCTGAGAGAAAGGGACTGGCCCAAAATCACCCAGCTGGCTTTCATGTCAAGGTGGAACTAGGATTCATCATCTCCTGATGATTAGCCCCCAAGTCACCAGCTGGCTGTCATGGCTAAAGAGAGAGTAGAGTTCACAGTCTCCTAGCCTGGTGTTACTAGACAAAACTGTTCTAAAATTCCTGAGAAATTGTCCTTTTGCGATAGAAATAGAAGGACCTTCAGGTCTCCCATCTTTAGTATTTAGTATTTTAGTATTTATTTGATTTGTCAATCGCTTACAAGATACGGGTATAAGAATAAATATAGTTTTGAATACATGAGATAGATACTTATAAGAAAAATAAAAGAAACAATAGGACAGGGATGGTAGGCACATTGGTGCGCTTATGCACATCCCCTCTTAGGAAAGGCGTGAGGTCAATAGTAGACAGTCTAAGGTTAAAGTTTTGGGGGTTTGGGGAAGAAACCTCAGAGTCAGGTAGAGTATTCCAGACATTGACCATTCTGTTGCTGAAGTCGTATTTCTTGCAATCAAGTTTGGTGCGGTTTACCTTGAGTTTGTATCTATTGTGTGCTCTTGTATTATTATGATTGAAGCTGAAGTACTCATTTGCAGGTAGGACATTGCAATGTATGATTTTATATACATCTTCTTACTAACCCAATGGAATGTTGGAGAGAAAATATGTGAACAAAGTTAGATGTGTACTCCATCTCTTGTGACTGGGATAATTTTCAAAATCCTGAACAGAACAAGTTGAAATTTGATATGGTGAGATAACAAAAAAGAGGGGTGGAGTCTGATTTTAGATTGCAGAGAATCATATTTCCCCCTCCAAATGGCCCCTTTTTCATTATCTCTTTCCCAATGGGAGAAGCATATGGGTTGCAGCTCACAGTGCTGCTATTTGCTCCATTCTAAGCCTCCCTCCCTCCCTCCCAGTCACATGACTCAGAGGCATGTCGACAGTCCACCACTTGTGCTCATCATAGCACATAGAACCAAGGAAAAGCGCACACATTATCAGTGCACATTACAAGTACTCCCCAACTTATGACCACTGTTGGGACTGAAACCGCAATCATTAAGTGATGTGATCATTAAATGAGCCACATCCAATTTTACAACCTTTGCATGTCAGAAGCCCCCTCCCCCTTTTAAAAGAAAGTTGCAAACGGTGATCTCAGGAAACTGCCACTGCCGTTAATACATGCCAGTTGCTGCGTAACCAAATTTTGATCATGTGACTATTGGGATGCTGCAACAGTCACAAGTGCAAGGACTGTTCATAAGTTACACTTTTCAGTAGTGTCATAACTTCCAGTGGTCACTAACAAACGGTCATACATTGAGGACTACCAATATTTTGTTACAGTAAAGAATATACAGGTTCCTGCCTGAGCAATCACTCTCCAGAAATGTAACGCCTCTATTTTTAAAGGCTATTTGGTTATTGTCAGGCCCCAGATGGAACCCATTTCTTGATGTGGGTGATTGCTGTGCTCCTCCCTATTCTTCTAACATCTGGAAATCCATTTTCTTTCTTCTCAATTCCCAAATGGAATTTTGTTGGTTTCCTTGACTCCGATTCTTTTCGTATTCTATCAATTTTTCCATCCAAGCTGACGGTGAACTGCACTCTCACTCAATGAGTAGAAGAGAGGAGATGAGGGTAGCACTGCTTGCTCCCATGGCAGAACTTCTGATTTCCTTTGGCAGGAAGCATCCGAGGACTTTGTGGTGACCCAGGAATCCCTTCCCACGGTATCCGGCATGGTGAAAACGAGTTAAGTGTGAACAGCACAGTCTGGTTTAGCTGTGAGCCGGGTTACACTCTCCGGGGCTCACTGCAAAGAATGTGTCAAGCCAATGGATCATGGAGTGGCACTCAGCCAGAATGCGAAGGTAAGTCTGGTCAGTTGATCAGCCTGCAAAGACCTATATGGGGCAAGTCAGATGATTTGGGGTGTTTTATGCTTTCTGCGTTCTTTTTTTCTCCTTTCACCAATATATGTCCATTGTTACACACATTTGTTTATTTATTGATTGGATTTATGTGGCTGCCATCCCACAGCAGCAACTCTGGGGAATTTACAACATTTGAAAACCATACCACAACATACAACATTGTCTTCTTTATCTTTAATGTAAATATTTATGCTGTTTGCACAGAAGCTGGAAGATGGGTCCATACATGGTGAATTAATGTAACAATAGTATATAGTGAGATTATAATTCTTTCAGAGACTTCTAGCTCTTCACCACCTCACCTTCATCAGCCTGGGCTTTCCAGAAGTGTTGAATATAATATGTGTAATTCACAACCTCGCATTCTCAAGCTAACATACATTCTTTTTGAAGGGTAAAAAAATGGCAGAAGGCTGTCTTAATTGTCCTCCTCCTCCTTCCATGTCTAGATCAAACTTTAAATTTCTAGAATAAAGTCATAAAGGTTTTGTCATTGGCCAAAAATAAGTCATTATCAGTACATGTTAACATGTTTCTGGTAGTAACACATGAACATATTGGTTTTACATTTAGGCACTCCAACTCTCAACTTATTTAGAGTCCTCCAGGTAGTATAAGATCCTTCAGCCATATCCTTCTTTAATGTTATTCTTTGCTCAATGGTTCCTTCATCCATTTTTTAATTCAATTTTGTTCTTGTGTACCCACAAGAATATTTGTTCTTGCCATAAAGCTGTTCCTAGATCTGAGTCGGTGGGCTTGGAGCAAATGTCCACATATACCTAGCATATATACTACCATAACGTATGGCTTAGTATTTTCAAGCAAGTTTTAGAATCTTTTCAGAAGCTATACTGACCAAACTGGATTCATGCAATTACTGTTGTTTGCTAATGGCAAGTCTGTATAGCACAGCAAATTTTTCCAGAGACATATTTGTACTTGAATGAAGAATTTTGCTATACACTTCAGGCAACTATCTATTTCACCATTTTGGTTAGCCTGAACCTCTGAGAAAGTCACAAATAAACTTGAAAGATGAAAGTGAGCATGGTTGAATACAGCTTCTAAATTTCCGTCTTTGAAATTCTTTTGCACCCTTTGAGATTGTGCTTGTTAAAACTTTGCAGCAAAAAAAAAAAAAAAAACTGGCACCAGAGGGGAAAAATACAAGTTCTTATCCAATTTGAGGAATGAGAACTTCAAACATCTTCCAAATGAGAAGATACCACCTAAGAAGATGTTGGAGTAATCCTCCTTTTAAAAGATTATACTTCAAACAATAAAATTAAAAAAAAGAAAAGAAATGGAAAATCCCAGTCTGTTAGTCCTGTTAGTCTTAATCCTGCTGACTGGGGAATTATGGGAGTTGAAATCCACAAGTCTTAAACACCACTGCCTTAGAGTCTCATGTTTTGATTTGGTGGCTAACAAAAATACTTCTCCTAAATGTGGATTATTAGATGCCTGTGCCCAACAACTAATCCCTAGAGTCCTCTACCTTCATTCTGGAGGTGCCACTAGGAATCATGACCAACATTGCTTAAAATCTCTCTTTTGATGGTTGTCTAAGTGACCATCATCTTTTGTGATTCCAAGCTTGTGACTAGTTGAGAGCAAGGGCTCACATTAAACTTTCCAAGCTTCCCTTGCTATGCTTTTATCCAGGAATGATCACCAGAGAAATCTGTTGTCATGGTGACATTTTTCTTCAACCAAGAGGCCTCCCTGAGGCCCAGAAGGCAAAAAAAATGGAGCGCAGAGGGTGCAAAAAAAAAGAAGCTACATGTCCAGTCACATGGCCACACCCACCTAGCCATGCCCACAGAACCAGTAGTAAAAATATTTGCATCCCACCCCTACTGAAGAGATGTCATAACCTATTATTGTCCTGATGCCCAACAGTTCCTTTGTCACTACTTCAAATATCTTCATTTGTTATTTCATTTTATTGCTGAAAAAGGGATGGGTCATGTATATCAATCTCAAAATAAATAATTTTATGAAGTTCAGAAGGAGCCACAAGATTATAAATGTGGCATCATGTATGGGGAATGTTTGGTGTTAGGGATGGAAAGTCATTTAGAACTGAAGTGTATTTGATAGGCACTAGGATTTGTATCGAAGACCAAGAGATGAGAAAAAAAGATTTGGAACAAAGGTGCTGGAACACTAAAGCTCAGTTATGGCATTTTGCTCTTGGAAGAGAATATAAGAAATTATGACAAGAGTTGCCAATATAGTTTTCAGCTTGAGATGAAGATGAGATGTCACGTATCTTTTCTATGCCATGAAGTTGATTGGCCCATCCCTGGTCATGAGATAGTATTCTCTCCTGCAGAAGGCAATCTCAAGGTGGTTCAGAGGAGGCTTGCTATGCACACAATTTTCTTCTTCCAAAAGTCTTCATCACCATACTTCTCAGCTTTTGTTTCCTGAGACAACTTTCTCCTTGCATGCTCAAAGGTGGAGAACCTGAGGTCTCAAAGCTGCATGCTGTTCCTTGAAACACTGCACGAAGCCTCCAGACTTCCTCCGAAATTGGCAGCAAATTGTAACTGTCAGTGTGGCAGATGGGGAAAATTATTACATCAAGTGAACTGAATTTTAATTAAGGTTTTTTTTTTGTCCTGGATCCACTTACATTTTGAAATGTGGTCCTTCTAGTATACCATTCAAAAACTAAATGAGTCTCAAACTTCAATTATGCTGCATACTTGGGTTTTCTAGACCAGTGCTGTAAGCAGATTTGAATTAGGAGAAAGGAGGTGAGGGGACAAGAGGGAAGGGAAGGGAAGGAAGATCTCGAATGTTCCCTGCAGCTTTTTACATGACAACTCAATGGGAAAGCCAGTGGGAATTCAGAAGTTGTTCCTGCTCCAATGTCTCTTGCTTAAGAGGTTTTTTTAAAAAAAAATGTATTTTACTTTATCTAAACATTTATAGAGCTGATCTTATATCAAAGTCTGCATGGCTCCCAATCAACATAAAACAATAGCAACAATAAAACAAAATAATGCATACTGTGTGTTTATTAAAACCATAAACATTTTGAAAAACCCAGCACAAAAGTTAAGCTTTCACCTGCTGTCCCTCATTAAATCCTCCACATCGCTGTATCCCAGTGCTTGTCTCGAATTATTTTGGGATGGCTGGGAAAGTAGAGGCCTGCTGAACCTCAAGGGAAGGGGTATTCCATAGGGCAGGGGTTGCCATGGAAAAGGCACATTTCCTAGATCCCATAAGATGGCAATCTGAGGGAAAGAACTAGCAGCCTGTCCACCCTGTATGATCTGGTAGGACAGATATCTGTCCTTAGGGAGACTCAGTTCTGTAAATAACCTGGCCTGTGCCCTATTTTAAATCCTGGAACCCTAGAAAGAAATGTGTGAGTTTACAACCAACCCAGCCTCCTGAAGTTTAATCAATGCCTGCTTTCAGAACCAGGATTGGCTCCATATGATGAAAGTTCATCCCAAAAAGCTGCAGAGAACTTTCCAAGGAGCATAGAATCCATTGACTTTTTAAAGGCTGTGGTTTCAATCCCCAGGCTTAGAATAGTTACATTTCAAGCTTTTTGCTTCAGAGATTTGTGGACTGTTGTATACAAAGCATAACCTTTAGCTGGACTCTGAGGAACACTCTTTTCCCCCAGTATAATCCTCAGCTGTCCAACACATTTCTGTGGCTCACCTCGGCCTCTGAGACCGAGATGTAGCAGGCAATGCTTCAGCCCACTCTGGTTCATTTGGCAGTAAAAACAGCAGTGTTTGTTCTCCAGAGGGACTGTTAGTTTTAAGTTTTCTTTTTCCTCTGCCCTATAATCATAAAAATTCAGAGAGAATTTTTTTTTTCCCAAAAAACCCCAATCAATATTTCAAAGGCCACAAATGGTATGGAATGAAGCAGGCTAATTAATCGCATTTCATTAGAGCTCTGCTGTGTTAGCGTTTCCATTTTATGTGACATAAGCTGCCTTGTAACCAGGATCCCCTTACCAGACTGAAGAGTCAGGCTTCGTTTAGCTTTAATTTCCAGTGAGATTTTAAATGAAAATTGGCATTAAAACAAAAACAAGCCAACACACACAGAGAAACCAGAGGAAAGTTTTTTTTTTCCATCCTCCTTTTGGCACCAAACAGGGTTGGAATGAAGAGCGGAGACATGACCTGAGAGTTTGTAAAAATAAGTTTGTAATGGGTGAGAGTTCTTTTTTCGTGGCCAGCTTTCCATAATGCTTCATTACCTCTGATTGCATTTGTAAATAAGATATTTTCAGTAGAAGATGATATTTGTAGCTCAGAATCCTACAACTGTGGGGTCCTTGATACTCTCTGAGTAACTTTATTTCCTTGCAGACATTTCATTACCCAACTAGATAACATAATCAGTGCTGGTCAGTGGTGGGATGACTGCGCAGTTTACAGAATAGGGATAAGTGTACTAAGTTTGCAATATGGGACGAGTGTAAGCAAATCCAATGCTCTTTAGCACTGATGATGTTGCTTACTTACTTACATCTGCAAACAAACAACCAAGTGCAGAGAACACCAAGCATTCTACAAATATATATTTTTTTAATTTAAAACTAAAACTGAATGGGACACAAAAGGGCTATAGCAAGGCCAGAGGATAATTATTTGTTTGTTAAATGCCCCATATTCTGCTTAAGCAAGTCTATCATGTGTTCTGGGTGACCATCCCTTATCCATTCTTTGAATGTTGCCCTTATCCATTCCATCATCCCACCATTTCTCTTGTTTTCCGAGCAAACTGTGAATGGCTGTTCAAAATCATGTGGAATTGTCAACTCACAAACAAGGACTTGAAAAGGCATTCCACCGCATCTTGTTCCAAGGCTGGATTTCAGCAAAGACATTGTAATCTTTTAAAGGAAAGACTCTTGAGCATTGATTGAATGGCAAAGAAAACGCTGCTGGGAGCCTCAGACCATTAATTCAGCAGAGGTGTCAGAATAACAGGTTGGATCTTAATCTCCAAGGGAAACGGCTGTTTTAGTACATCTATTTAATTGAGGAGATAACAGCAAATTCATCTATGCAAATTTATATAGGTATAAATTCCCTTTATATGGTGTTACCCATTTAAGATCCAGGGTGTTTGAAAAGCCACATGTTCTGGACAGGGTGTGCATTTTTTTTTCCTTTGGGGGAGACTTTTAAATTTGCACCTGGTAACAGTATAATGTGGCTGTTTGAATGATCTGCCTTTCTTCTGTTGAGGAAAATGCTGACTTCATAGAAAGAGATCACCCTAAAAACTCTGTTGACTGTGACAGGGAATCTAATACTGATGCCTAACTTAAAAGAACTGCATTAAGTTTATGGAATAAAAACACATTCATGCAAAATAGCAACTTGTATTTTTGTACAATATTTCACTGTGTTTTATAGCATACTCAAAGGAAGAAGGTACCGTTGGGGAACACATAATGCAATATTCAATAGGAGATGTGTGGAAATTAGTTTGTTTATTTTCCAGGACACATTAAAATGCTCATTCTACCATATGGTTAGATGTTTGAACGTGTCCCATAGCTCAGTCCTCTTCACATGTCCATCACACTCCAAATGATGGCTTTTAAATCTCAATATGTATATTTAGGATTGTAACTCAAGAAATTCATCCAGCCCTCATAATCAAGAGAGCATTTTCAATCTTCTCCATCCTGACACCCTCCTATGACAGCAACACCCAGAATTCTCACCCAATACAAGTAGTCCTCAACTTACAACTCTTCATTTAATGACCATTCAAAGTTGCAATGGCTCTGAAAAGAGTGACCCATGACCATTTTTCACAATTGCAACCTTTGTAATCACCTTTGTCATGTGATCACTTTTTGCAATCTTTTGACAAAGCAAAGTCAATGGAAAAGCCGGAATCACTAAGCAATCGGGTTGCTAACTTAACAACTGCAATGATTCACTTAACAACTGTGGCAAGGAAGGTTGTAAAATGGGTCAAAACTCACTTAACAAATGTCTCACTTAACAACAGAAATTTTGGGTTCAATTGTGGTTGTAAGTTGAACACTACCTGTATGGGACTTCCAAACTTGTTCTATAAGGAGATGAGGCCTTTCTCCACTTGCTTTTAACTGTGCCCCAGCAAGCTTTTTTTCCTGTAATATCTTTACCTGAATTAGAATTAAGCCATTTTTAGCTGTACCAGAGTTAAAGCCATGTTCTTCCCCAACATACATATAATTGTTTGTTATATATAATTGTTGTGACAGTGGCCGAGGGTGATAAACCCATTACCTTGAAGAGAAGTTAGAAGATTGCAGTGACATGAAACAAAGGCATTGTAACAGGAAGAAGATTGGCAATGGTGTTCGTTAATGACATGCTCATATAATTTTTTTGTCAGCTCAAGGATGTATGGACAAGCAGCTCAACAGGGTCCACCACTATGACCCAGTGTGACAGTTTTAAAATTCAGCTGCCACCTTTTTTTTAGAGAGTTGGAGGAGTTGAAAAGTTCAAGGTTATTCTGTATGTCGTATTAAGTAATTCTAGTGGCAGTTAATTGGTGCTTGTGATTTATGAAGTGTAAAAGTGGGAGGAGAGAAGGCGGATTCTGTGTAAGGCTCGAAAATAATTTAACTTGGGAAATTGCCTTTGACATGCCAGATCTGTTTCTAATAAATTCAACCTTGGAGAGAGATGTCTTGGAGTGATTGATATCATGGATACTTTCTGGATGCCTTACACAGTACAGAGACCTTGCTTTGCACTTGGGGGTTCTATCTTCAGCCTTTAGTTTTAAGGAAGTAGAATCAGGGATGTGATCTTTGTCTGCCCAACATCAAGGATAACTGCTGAAAGTCCCAATGGAGAGTACAGATCCACCCATCAGATTTCTCTAACTCTGCATTGATATCTGCACATTAATGCAAATACTTCATACCCAAGGATATTGTTGCACTCCTTTGACTCCTCTTTCATTATTCATTGGTTGCAGTGATATCATGTGGGAACCCTGGTACACCCAGCAATTCAAGGGTATTATTCAATGACGGCCTGGTGTTCTCCAGCTCCATCATATACAAGTGTCGCGATGGCTATTATTCCACAGGTGTGCTCAGCAGGCATTGTACAGTCAATGGAACCTGGACAGGGAGTACCCCAGAATGCACAGGTGAGTTGGTCAAAGGAAGATGTTAGCAATGATGAAGCTCATTTCTACAACTTGATGCTTTCTAGATGTATTTGGACCAACAGCTAAGAGTTATAAGAACTGCAGGTCATGGTAATAGGGAATGCTGAAATGCTACCTTGCTGTTTAATTTTAGTTTATTCTTCATTTAGTATCCATATTTGTTTGTTTATTTATACTTTGCTTCAAAAAAAATTTCCCTTTGTTATTTGTTACATCTATACCTTTATCCTGTTATCTCTACTTAGGACTTTTAAATTGCTACCTTAGGCTTGTTCCCAGTTGTGGAACATAAAGTTATTAAATAAATAAGGAGCATCCTTGGATCGGCATATCCCAAATTCTTCAGAAATGATACTTTTCATATAGAAATGATAAGTTTGCCCATCCTTCAAGGAGCTGAGTTCTCCATCCTGCAGTTTCTGTATGAGTCACTGTTCGGAAGAGACCACCTCTGAGCAATTTTAGTGCAGATTGTATTCTGTAAATTCCCATGAAGAGGTTATTGAGAAAAAGGTAATGTTGGGGCAAGAGTTGGCAAGGAGATACATTGGAGAAACACTTGCCTATGAGCATGGGAACTCTGAATAATCAAACATTATTTCTTAAGGCAGAACACATGTTCTATTGCATCCAGACTCACAAGGCCATTGCCTCCCCAAGTAGGGAGCCTTCCTTTATCAACTTCCAAGTACAGTGAAGGAAATTCCTGGTATCGTGCCAGAGCAAAAGCTTTCAGTGCTTAAGAATCTCCAGCTTAGTTAAGAATGCCATGAATAAGACAAAATGTCTTAAATGGATTCACTGTTAATAATGTTTGGACTTTAGTTAGGTCAGAATGGCACTCACTATCTGTTGTACACTGTTTTAAGAAATGCTCCTTCCCATCATAACCCATGCTGGGTAGAACATCTGGTGAGAGGACCAAATATAAGATTTTAATTGCCCTTACCTTGTTTCCAGACAAATTGGAAGTCTTTGTTCATGATTAGTGGGACAAGGACAAGGAGTAAAGAAAGGTAGTTTGAGCCAATAGTTGGGCATGCCCAACCACACTCTAGCCTCCGTCTCTATCTCAAGGCACAAAGTGTCAGTAAAGACACTTGAAGGACATTCCTTTGAAGTTTAGATTGTACACATTCTAGTGGTGTGAAACTAGAAAAGGGAGCCAGTTGGACATAATAGAAAAGCTATGCTAATGGCTTGGCATCAAATAATTTGAGAACTATAGGTGTATAATAACCATTAAAGCCTTAAAAGGCTTAAAATATTTAAAATATTTAATATTTTAAAATATAAAAATATTTAATGATGGCAGATTAATTCTCCTGTGTATTTTCAGCAATGTAGTTCCCATGGAGCTTCCAATTGACAATCCTCAATTATTTTATTCTTGTGGCTATATATGTTCCTCAAAAAGGTTATTGAGGCTTTTGGCATATCCTATGATGTTAGCTTTCTGATAATTGTGTTCTAGTTGGTATTCCTTGCAATAATATGCTAGGTGATTTTCAAGACCAACAAACATTATTGAATATATCCCTGGATCATCTGCACAGAAATATCTCTTCAAGGAGAGAGAGTTCACATTGTGGAGATGTCCCACTATGAAATTAATGTAAAGTGGGACTAATATGCAGCTTTGCTTAACACTTTTCTTGGTTTCAATAACATTGGGTAAGATGGTCTTAGTGACTACAACTTTCTTTGAATAACATGACTTTATGCAGCACAGATATTAGATAAAGTCAACACTGGTTGATCAAGGAAACTTCTAACTTCTCCCATAGTTTAACTGAGGAGAGAGCATCAAATGCTGCTTTGAAATCTCTAAAATCTCTAATGAGAAGTTGTGTTGCAGGAGAAGTATTTTTCCAATGCAATGCTCAAATGTGAGGCGCTGATCAATAATGGATCAGCCAGCCTACTCTTTTGTCAGCAGGTTCTCTTGTTCCAGCCAGTCCTAAAATTTCCATTGTAGATATCCTGCATTGAGTTTGCTGACTGTGTTATGAGGGCTAATGGGTCTATCATTAACACGATAATCTATTTTCCCCTTTTAACCAGAATTGATTTTTTTTTCAGGGAGGAGGAGAGATAATAGTACTCACAGACCAGAAGTATGAGGGAATTTCTGTGTTTTTTAATCCTGTAAATCACAATTGAAATCACGAAGCCCTTCCCCCAATTTTGCAAGTAGTAAATAGACTTGCAAAATTTCCATTTGGAAAGGTACTGACTTATCCATCACACTATTTAGGAATTAGATAACTAGCTACTCGCAGCTTCACCATAGGAGAATATCTTGAACTTGAGGACTGTTGTAAGAATTTGCTTTCAAAAGAATACTGTTGTTTTCATTATTAACATCAACCTTGCCTTTGAGATCTGCAGCTGATCTTCTTTTCCTCTTTTTCCAAGTGATAAACTGTGGGGACCCTGGAGTACCAGCCAATGGCATTCGAATGGGCAATGACTTCACCTATAATAAGACTGTCACATTTCAGTGCATGCCAGGTTACATGATGGAGTCAGAAAGAGCTTCTACTTTAATTTGCACTAAGGACCGGACCTGGAATGGGACAAAACCTGTCTGCAAAGGTAAGGCCAATTTAATCACAACATTAGAGCACATGTGGGATTTCCCTATAGTTTACATCTGTGTTTCTCAACCTTGGTGACTTGAAGAAGTGTGGCTGGGGAATTCTGGGAGTTGAAGTCCACACATCTTCAAGCCACTAAGGTTGAAAAGAGCAGGGGTGGCAATTATGGCCCTTTACAACCTCCCAGAATTCCTGAACCTGCATTGCTAGTTTGGGGATTCTGGGAGCTGAAGTCTAGAGGTCATAAAGAGGCCATAACTGCCCACCCCTGGTCTAGAAGAACATTTCCCCACCAGGTAGTCTCCAGATAGAAAGGATAGGATAGGATAAGCCACAAAAGCCAGATAGAGAAATTCTTTTTTTCCCTCAGTCTCTCACTTCTTCAATTTGTTTAAAAAAAAAATAGCCCAAGGCTAATTAGGGGTATCAAACTGGTGGCCCACAGGCCAGATGTGTCACATGGAGGCCACGCCCACCCCAGCTCCACAAAGGGGAAAATGTCACGAAACATCACATGATGGCAACATGATGCGGCAAATTTGACATCTGTGCCTTAGAAAGAACAGCCTGGAGAATGTCTCATAGGCAGGATATGCATACCTGTACTAGGTGATCAAAGAAGGGCTGTTATATGTGTATTCTGTCTTTCATTGTTGTGTAATTGCTCCAGTATAACCTTCCATGCTATTGTCCAAGATCTCAAGAGAATTAATCCATTATATTACTGCTGGAAGGATGTGAGAGTTTTTTGTTTTTAAGAAATTGTTGTAGAAATTTTTCTTCCCCTTGAAAAATCTGGTAAAAACTGTCCACCAATTTCTTTAACCACGAGTTTTTTTAAAAGAATCCTAAAGAAACCTTTTAGGCCCATTTCTGTTCATGGCTCACATTATTTTGAATCCCTGTGGTCAGTGGAAAGCCAGGAAGGACTGGTTTCAAAAATAATCTGAGACTTTTTGAAGAATTAGAAGTGAAGAATTTGGATTAGAGGTGGATTCAGAAGCCATATATAAATTAGTCTTGGTTGCACATGGAAGCACATGGTTTCTAAAGAACCTATAAGATCGTCCTGTCTAGTGATGTGCATAGTGTTAATGTCCTTCATGCCATGATTTCTGATTCGCTGTATAAGCATGTTTACATTTTCCTTTACTTTATGCCTAGGTGCTACAGATGGCCAATTTGCTATTCAGTTACTTGCATTCTGTGGCCTTAGTTAATTACCATCTGTATTTCATTTTATTTGCCCAAATAGAAAGAACAGGGTAACATCTGTGAATTCTAGCCCTTTGAAGAAGGAGCTTTGCAGCAATAACCACAATTTCCTTCAATATGTAGAGCACACTCACATGATAATAATAGAAAACCTGGAACATGAATTCTAACCTTTTGGGTCTCTTGTTGAGTTCAGTGTGACTTTTTCTCCCTAGCTATCATCTGCAAATCTCCACAAATTGTTTCCAATGGAAGGGTCATGGGCTCAGATTTCAGTTGGGGCTCAAGTATCAGTTATACCTGTCTGGAAGGCTACCAGCTCTCCCTAGCTGCTGTTTTGACCTGTGAAGGAAATGGATCATGGAGTGGAGAAATCCCGCAGTGTTTTCGTAAGTAGACAGTTCCAGCTAAACAAGACATGAAGTCAGAAGTGGAGTAGCTGGGGCTTGTTATGTTATAAAGGCATATCCATCACAAACTCTTGTTATCTGACTGGTGTAAAAGCCAGGATCCAGTCTTTAGTGAGAACCATCAAAAAAGCTCCTTTGCCATTATATCTAGAAACTATTTTTAAAAATAACAACAGAGAGAGAGGGGGGGCACCATGTTGCTTGTGTGAATGTTGCTGTGAACCACAAGAATCATGAGAAGAAGTAGCTGCTCCCTGAGGGCCAGAGGAAAACACTGGTAGGTGAAAAGTTTTCTGGTTTATTTATTCCATTTTACACAAACCTCTTTCAGTTGCCCAGGGCAGTTGGATCACATTCCACTAAAATGCTTGCCCTATTCCCGCATCTCTTCCCATTGTTAAAGGCCTCCACTGGCAAATTTTAACTAAAACACTTTCAAAGTCCTTTTCCCACTCTCTTCTTGAGCCAAGCAAAATGCCTGAAGATAGAGTGAGCCTGTTTTCAAATTTTGCTGGGAAATTTGGCCTTCGGTATCCAAGAAGTATTAGAAGATGCTATCAAACCTCTTTGGAGAAGTCCAAAAGCAAAGGTGTGCAATTAAAGGAAAGTGTTCGGTTCAGAATTTTATCAGAAGGGAAGCCAGTCTGCAATTGTGTGGATTTTTTGTGTCAGTGCTGGTGTATTCAGATGCTTTTTTCCCTCACCCAGACATTTGGCAGAACATGAGTTTTTGTCTGGCATTTCTTGTTCCACCTGCTGCAGAAGAAATAGGCTTTCCTGTTCAATATAGGGCCACATGGTGCTTTGCCTTCACACAACAGAAGATCTGTTTTTGAATTCCAGCAAAAGCAAGCAAGAAAATTGAAGCTAGCCTTTTGTTCTCTCTCAGCCTGTCTGCCAGGAGACAGTATGAAGGTGGAAATAGATTGAACATTCACCGACAATGAAACGCAGCATGCAAAAAGAAGCTGGCCACTCTCTTCTGATAGCCAGATTACAAATGTCTTCTAAATTGAGAGCCCTCAGCATAACACATGTACTATAGGTGCCAGAGTGCCATGGATATTTTTCTAGGTACCCAGTTGGGCCATTTTTACTTTTCTAACTTTTATTATTCTAATTTTAAACAAAATTTAAGTGTGAACTCCAGACTCACCTTTATTTCCAAAACTGACCTTGGATTCTGTCTAAAAATTAAAGGTATTCTTAGAAGATCACAATGATGGTTCTTCATTTTCTTTATGTATCTATCCACTGAGAGAAAGACAAAAGCAAATTGAGACGTAAACTTAACAATTTGCATTCCAAAATATTGGAATTTTGCAATTATATGCCCACCTCCCATTGTGACACTTCATGGTTATCATTTTGCTTGTAAAGAAGAAAAATTCCCCATAGTTTGTGAGTGAACCTGTATTTGAGCAGGACTGAGGACAGACTACCAGGTTCTGCCCATTGAAGTAAGATACAAGCAACCTTTTTATAATTGCATAATAAGTGCTGACCAGTAATTTTCTGCTTTCGGTGAAATAATAAGAATAAAATGGAGATTGACTCTAATTTGTTTTTGTGGCTAGTTATGTCCTGGTTCCCATCTGAAAGTATCAGTGCTGATTTAAGATAATGTGTGATCCAGCAAAGCAAGCAATTCTGGAAGTTTACTTGAGCTCAGGAGCCTTGGTAGTTTAGAGACCATGGTTCAGGTCTTTGTCTTACTTCTTCATCTGCACACCCAAAACATATTAAAAATGCTATATTTCCCTGCTGAAAAGAGTTAGGGATCTTGGCTTTGGCTGCAGGCAGCTGGCATAGGTGATCCAAGAGGTTGGTGTGGTTAGAGGTTTTATCCCAATGAGATGTCTTTCACTGAAGTCCTTTGACTATTCTTTTTGCAGCTGTCTTTTGTGGCGATCCAGGAATCCCAGCAGATGGGCGGCGTGAAGATCGAGGTTTTACTTACCGCTCCTCTGTCTCATATTCCTGTCTGCCCCCATTAGTGCTGGTGGGATCAGCTCGGAGGTTCTGCCAGACCGATGGATCATGGAGCGGGACCCAGCCAAGCTGCATCGGTAAAAAGATGGGACTTTATTGGGAAACAAAATAATAAAAATGCCTCTGCCTTTTCTTGGCAGGGTTGAGGAAGTAGTTTCCCATTGCTCTACTCCAAAAAGTTTTCCAACTTTTACGTCTTAATATTCCCTGGAAAGCTCCCTCCAAAATACTAATCTGATCCAATCCTATTTAATTCCCAAGCAAGGTGTTGTCAAGAATATGAAATACAAGTAGCCTTCAATTTACAACCACAATTAGGACCAGAACTTTTGTTGCTTAACAAGGTTGTTAAGTGAGTCATCCCGATTTTACAATCATTTTGCCATCGTTGTTAAGGGAATCCCTGCGATTATTAAGTGAATCTTGTCATCATTAAGCACAAGTCTTCCCTCATTGATTTTGCTTGTTGGAAACCAGCCGGGAAGGTCACAAACGACAATCACTTGATCCTGGGATGCTCCAACCATAGTTTGTTAGCTTAGATCAACGCTGGCTAACCTTTTTGGGCTCCCATGCAGATAATTGCATACGCGCTTGCCTGCTCATCCTCGAATGCCATCACCCAGAAGGCAATGCGTGCCCCCACATGCCTCCTGCGCATGCACATGCAACCCGCACTGTGCTCTTCTGTGTGAGTGTCTCCTGTGTGCCACTGTACTCCCACACATGTGTGCCAGATACCTGACAATCAGCTGACAGGCGGGTGGTGTGAGCACATGCACAGTAGGCCTTTTCTGGGCGAGAGTTCATGTGCCGGGCAAAATGGGCCTGCAGGCCACTTCTGGCATGCATGCCATAGGTTTGCCACCACGGGCTTAGATTATTGATTAGCCGAAAGGCCATCCCAAAATACAGAATTCCAGGTACAAATTATTAATAAAATCCTATAAAAGTTTTAAATGGAAATTGGAATAAAATACAATAATTTGATATATAGATAAATAAAATGAGATGAAATTATATTTCAGTATCACCCCTGCAACCTACCCCAATAGTCCCACCTATGTCGATCTTAGCTGAACCATTTTACTCAAGTACTGTGCCGTATTAAGTATTGTTTTCAAATTCTGGCTGCACAGAAGGTCTGTTGTTTTAATATGGGGCTCCCAATGGGCCATTTGTTTAATATATGAACGTACCTGACTCTCACCCTCTTATAAAAACAATAATCAAAGGCAACCATGGTAACTGTTAGGGATACACCCTAGCAGAATCTGCACGGCAGTCAGGCAAAATATGTGAGATAAACATTTTTGTAGCTTACACTTAGTAAAACAGATACACAGTGCTAGTTAAATAGTTTATTCCAGTAAGAGTTATAGCATAGTCAAACAGTCCATATATCATTCACTAATTCAGTCTGTCCAGGGATTATTCAGTTGCAAATTCCAGTGTCGAAAAAGAGAGGTCAGTAAACTTACAAATATCAGTCCAGTAATATATCTTCTCTCGCAGTAGAGATATGAAGAAGTCAAAACTCCTCTCTTCCTTCAGCAACTCAGCAGTAGGGAAAACACGCAGTTAACAAACCATCAATTCATCAAACCAGTCAATCGTCAGGAATCGTCAGGTTCTCTTGCTCCCTCTTATGGCGGTTTCACACCGCACCCAAAATTACATGCTTTGCAGTTTAAAGTGACACACACTTAAACTTACAATCATAGTTTATATATATTATTTTACCCAAACTATGTTAGGTAACCTTGTTATTCCTAACAGTAACATACATGCTGGTTCCCAAGTGCCCAAATTTTGTTTACATGACCACGGGACCAGTTGTAGGTTACTTTTTGCAATGCCTTTTTGCAACTACCTGTAATTCCCTAACCAATTCCACCAAAAGCAAGTTTGGACATTCTTTGGGGTTTGCAGCAATACAAAATTTAAAAAGTGTCGGAGTAGTACTATCACTTCTAGGAAAGAGACATTTGATACAAAATATGTTTGAAAGAAAGCTGTATCACAGAAAGTTGAGTCTAAAGTTTAATTCTGGTGTGTGTGTGTGTGTGTGTGTGCGTGCGTGCGTGTGTGTGTGTGTGTGTGTGTGTGTGTGTGTGTGTATTAGAGTTTAAACCAGGGAAGTTTGCATTTTAAAAAGCTGCTTTGTGGGCATTTACATATCAAAGATGAAAATGGTGAATTGCATTAAATGTTTAAATTTATACTAGAATTACTGTGCGGCAAGGAGAGAAATTTGTATGCAAAGCTTCAAAATGCATTGCATAGTTATGAATTTTTTTCAAATCCATGAAAAAAACATTGGTTTCAAATCTTGCACCATAAACTGAATCATTTTAGTGACTCTGCATTCCCAAGTGAAAACAATAATGATTTGTTATAGTAAAAACTTAGAAGCCATCTTTCAGAAACTGACCTTGCAAACAAATCTCTCTGTCTGGTGCTACCGCCTGTGCAATACACTGCACCTTTCGATTTGGAACTTCTTATAGTTCCGTTTTTATTTTGTTTTATTTTACTGTATCTTTTCGTAATTACTTTCAGATCCCATTATAGATTTGGTTGCTTTAGGTGAGCGAGTGCAGTATAAATGAGCCCAAAGTCAAACCTCCGTTAAGCTCACAGATATGCAGCGAGTTGGTATATGTAGTAGGCTGGGAAGCTTTGGATGGGTTCTTTCCTTCTGCCACGGTTTATGTGAACTCATTTCAAGGTTGTGTCTGCGCATCCACTCACTTGGTTTGCTTCAGTCCCTTCTGAAGACCTATCCAACAATTCCCTAAAATCAGAAGATGTGGCATGCAGGGCTGGAGCTCACATGAAGTGCCTTTGCCTTTGTGCCATGAAGGGTCTCTGTGAGTCAGACCATTGTTCTCTCTCGCACACACAAATTAATTAAGCACTTTCGTTTGTTTGCTCTTCTTTTCAGATGCAAGTGTTACAACCTGCATGGATCCAGGTGTGCCCCCTTTTGGAATTCAAAACAATTCCCAAGGTTATCAGGTAATATATGATCATCTCCCCCTCCCTCCCTCCTTTCTTTTCTTCTCTCCTTTGCCCTGAACAATCTTCTTTATTTATATAATATAGCCAAAACTGCTAATTTGTCATCCTTAATCCAGGGACTGAATATATTCATTCTCTTTTTATGCAAAACGCAGACAGTGATGATCTGTCTTTGGAGAGTTGTTATCTCTTGATTAAGCTGTTTTGTGAGGGAGACAATAGGAGGATTTTGCCAGAGGGACCTTTTATTAGATTCAGAGGTGGTCCTTGTGATGCTTGTGTTTCTAATGGAGACAAAATCAAATAGGCCCTGCCTCCCTTAGTAAATAACAAGATATTTCAAGCTGGAGGAAATCTATACAGAGAGTCCTCAACTTACAACTGTGATTGAACCCACAGTTTGAATTGTAAATCTCAGCAGCCATAAAGTGAATCATTGTATGACCAAAACCTATTTTGTGACCTTTTTTGTGGCAGTTATTAAGTGGTGGCATAAAATGAACACCACTTTCATTAAGTGAACCCATTGTTTGTTATAGGAAAGTTGTTGACAGAAACCAGAAGGAAGCAACATCAACTGCAGTCATGAGGGATGCTGCAAATGGCCATAATTTTACAACAAAAATGTGGTCATGTGACCATGGGTGATAGGACCAGATATTGGAATTTTGAATCTGGGTCATAAACAGCTTTTTCAGAGTCCGTCATAATTTGGAACAATTGCTCAGCAACCACTCATAAGTCAAGATCTGCCTATATGGCCACAAAGAACCAACAATGACTTGATGGCCCATGACCAACTCAATCAAAATGGTTATGAACACAAGAGATTCTAAAATTTGAACTCCCCATCTGCATCTGAGAGGACAGCTGTCAGTAGCTTTACGAAAAAGGTCAACAGTCTTTTCATGTTGTTGGCACTACTGCCTAATCTCACATGATGAGGCAATCCATCCCTTTCCCCCAACTGAAAATTAAAATGGCCAAACATTTGTAAGTTTGTGAAACATGTTAACAGTCTCCTCTTTGAGAGGCCACTGGAATTTCATGAGATTTGATCAGCTCATGAGAACAAACTTTTCAAAATAGTATGCTATGTGTGAGAAACTCACAGTGTGACTAGAATCATGAGTCCAAAATATTCCACATGGCAACATTTTGTTACATATTCCACTAGATTTTTTTGTCTGAACCTCAATCTTATATTTCAAGCCTGAGTCACTCAAGGCTTCGTAACACTGGCCATTGTAAGCTAAATCAAGTTCAGACCTGGCTCAGTCACTTTTTCAAGGACAGGTCTGAGAAGTAATATGTGAGGTTGAAATATCCATCTTCAACTAGATCAGTGGTTAACTAGATGAGTGGCTATATTTTGTGACCTTTTTTGTGGCAGTCATTAAGTGGTTGCATAAAATGAATGGCATGATCCCAACACAACATGCACAACATGCTAAATTTGCATTGTTTCTCGTTGCAATAGGTTGGAAGTGTCATCTTCTTCAAGTGTCATAAAGGATATCTGCTGCAAGGGTCCACCACCAGAACCTGCCTTCCAAATCTGACATGGAGTGGAATTCAACCAAACTGCATCCGTAAGTCTTAGCTTCCTCAGTGTTGGCAGAACAGTTGATGCAATTGAATCTCAACCTCAGCCACTTGAAGATGTATGGACTGCAACTCCCATAATCCCTCAGCTGGCATGGTTGGCTGGGGTATTCTGGAAGTTGTAGGCCATACATTTTCAAGCAGCTGAAGTTGAGCACTGCTCTGTGCTAACAATCCAGGTTTGCAGTATATACTCAGATGCCAGATCTTAATTTTTGCTTCCTGAATAGATAATGTGGAAATGAGAAAATGCAAACCAGCCTCCACAGACAAATCCCAGAAAGCAAGGACGCATGAAGTATCTGAAGGCATTGTTTCAAAATATGCCTTCTTTTGAGTCAGGCCAGCTCTTGGCTATAGACAGGCTTCAATCTTTACCCAACCAGCAGCCTTTCCCAACCTGGTGAAATACCTGACATTTTCAAATAACATTCAGCAATCTGCTGGAAATTCTAGGGGATGTAGTCCAAAAGATTTGAAGGAGGCCAGGTTGGGAAGGCTATCTTCTGCCCTTTCTTGGGCCTAGTAATGCTGGGTCCATCAGGTGCATTCCTCCGTGTCTTTGCAGCACACAACTGCAAGGAACCAGATACCCCAGCCCATGCCAACGTGGGTGCTCTGGATCTGCCTTCGCTGGGATACACCTTGATCTATTCATGCCAGAGTGGCTTTTATCTCACTGGAGGATCAGAGCATCGGACTTGTAAGGCTGACGGCACCTGGACAGGGAAGCCTCCCATTTGCTTGGGTAAGCAAAGCTGCCAACTGAAAGACAGCTCCGTGTCTACAGAACATCTTATTGTTTCCACTTGAAATTCATCCGTTGTATTTCAGCCATGTGTTTCATGGACAAATCACTCCATTTCTGTCCCCTGCTCCCCAGACCTAGAGGATTAAAAACTGCCTTGTTAGATCAAATCCCAGAAGCCCATTTTGCTCATTATTTTCCACCAGTGGTAGCCAGAACATTAAGGCAAGAATTCTATGTGATTCTTTTTTCACTTCTGGTGCTCAGGGATCGAGCTGCCTCCACACTTAGGATGATCTCAGCAGTGTTCATATAACATAAAGCTTCCTCTATCGATGTGAATCCTTTATATCAGATTTCCCCCAGAATACCTTACAGCTAGAGTAAACAAGGGTGGTGGTTTTTTGTTTTTTATTTGCACATTATGAAATCTGAAATTTTGGGTTGACCACTTTTGCCAGTTCAAATAGTGAACAAAAAATGGGGAGATCCCTTTTGTCTAGTCTCTTATATCATCCATAATTATAGAATTGGTAGGAAGAGAGTCTTCCTACACTACAGAAGCAAACAAATCAATCTGGTAGCATTTTTTTTCTGACTAACATGCTTAACTATGTTAAATTAGAAATATTGAATATTAGGAAGTGTGATCTAGCATCAAGATAAAAGACAGGAGACTCTGATTTCTAGACTTACTTTAGGCATGAAATCTGGCTGGGTTTCATATATATTGAACATAGGAGGTGGAAGGTATGCTCACTGCCTTGAGTTATTTATAAAAATAACAAAGGACTAAAAAAAACAACTTAAAATTGGGGCAGTTCCAAAGGTAGTGTTTGCATTCACACAGCATTCTAAGTTTGATTAGCTTATTTTTCAAATCAGTTCATGGTTCCATATATTCTTCCAGAAAGTGGGTTAACTCAGAACCAAGTTGAAGAGAGCAAGTGATCACAGTGGCAACATAAGATCTTCTTTATATTCACCTGTTATTAAAGATGTTCATGTCACCTTATTAAGATATGAACTCTTGCTTTTATTGTCCTTTTAAGCGGATGTCCGACCCAGTAGGCGACCTGTGGGTGCTGCAAAGGATCAGCATCTTCCAAAAGTCTCAGGTACCTCTTTTTCCTAACTACCAAATGCATAAAAATACAGTAAAAATGAAACAGTATAGCAAATTACTTGAATTTCACGGTCTGTAAATATATGGACACACTGTCAATTTTCTTAAAGGATTAAAATCTCAAACCATTCATTTTTTTTAAATGGATGAGAGTCTTCATTAATGGCGTTTCTTTTGATCGTTTTGAGGTGACAATGTTTGATTTTAAAAAGTATTGAACAAATCTGGGGAATTCTGGGGATTGAAGTCCACTCCTCTTAAACTTGCTAAGGTGGAGAAACACTATTCTAGACCAGGTGGGCCTGTTTTTGTTTCTGCCCTTGTTCTAAAATCTTTTCCTTGTCTTGTTCTGCCTTGGGTTATTTCTAGTTCCTGCTGATGTCTTTGCCAAAAATTCCTTCTGGAAAGGCTCTTATGAATACATGGGCAAAAAGCAGCCAGCCATGCTTTCTGTCACCAGCTTTGATCCAGTCACCAGTAAAGTGAATGCCACCCTGATAGACCACAGCGGTGTGGAGCTGCAAGTCTCTGGTAAGGCAGCCAGTTGGGGGGTTTTCTGCATTCCTGGTGGGAGAAGAAGAGATGATGCCACCTTGATGTCCACCCCATTAAACAACATAGAAAGGAAAATATGTCCATCCAACCTTATTCTGCACAACATGTTCTTACTGCCAATATAACGGGTTTGTTTTTTTTTGCTCTCTTCACCCCATCTGCCTGGAAAATCAAGTTGAAACATCTGTCTAACATGCAAATCAAATCAATGGTTAATTCTGAATTAACCATTCTGTGAATTCTATGGCTGCATTCATATTGCACCACATACTAAGATTAACATACTACCATAACCAAGCAAATAAACCATGGTATAGTTTACTGTGATGGGTTATATATATATCATGAACCATGGCTCACTCCTGAGATTTCACAGTATACAAAACCTAAATGACCCAAAAATGATGATAAAGATGTTGAAAGTGTGCAGAGAAGAGAAAGATGATAAAGGGTCTGGAGACTAAATTCTATGATGAATAGTTGAGGAAACCAGGTATGTCTAGCTTACTGAAGATAAGGATTGGGGGTGACACATGATAGCTTTATTCCATTACTTGAGGGGCTTTTACAAAGAAGAGGAAATTGGGTTACTCTCAAGGGCGCCAGAGGGCAGAACACAAGGTAATGGGTGGAAGAGATAATTGTCAAAGAGAGATGACAAGGAAGGAAGGAGAAATTTCATGACAGTGAGAACAATTAATTAATGGAATAGCTTGCCTCCTGGGTTTGCGGATACTCCATCACTCATGGTTTTCAAGAAAAGATAGGACATCCGTTTGACTGGGATGGTATAAGATTTCTTCTTGAGAAGAGGATTGGACTAGAAGACCTCCAAGGTTCATGGCTTTCACAATCCCTGTCTGGATTGTTAGAATCTCTGTATCTTGGGCATCATCCACTTATTTGTGTTTTTTTTTAATCTGCAATTTTAACCGTGTTCCCAATTGGAGATGACTCTTTGAAGGCCTTTGCTATCTTTCCTGCATTTTCATTTTCCTGAATAATTTAATGGTGCCTGCAGGCTTTGGAAACAACTAAATGCATGTAATACAGATGAGCTTCCAATATGATTTCACCAGTTACCAGAGTTGAATGCATTCAAGAACACTGAGGTCTTGTCTTCTCAAATTGCAATGAAATGTCGCCTCTCCCCTCAGTTCTCTCGGGGCTTCCTCACCTTGCTTGCTGCTTGTGTTACAAGAAAAACAATCAACCTTGACTTGCCCGGCTCTCTTATCTTCTCTTTCCAGGTATTTACAAAAGAGAAGATGTCCATCTTCTCCTCCAGGTACACCAAATTACAGGGCCACTAGAGATCTTCATGAACAAATTCAAGAATGATAAGTGGGCATTGGATGGACACGTAAGTCTTTGCCTGAAACATTTCAATGACAGACATGCAGAGGAATTGTGAATATAACATTGGGGGAATGTGGGAGCTTTTGTAATGATGGTTAGGAACAGCAAAACCTAACATTAATATTCCCTAACCTGATGGCCTTAGATATGTTGGGTCTGTGACTGTCAGACTTCTCAGCTTCTCTCTCTCTCTCTCTCTCTCTCTCTCTCTCTCTCTCTCTCTCTCTCCCTCCCTCTCTCTTTCTCTCTCTCTCTCTCTCTCTCTCCAATTGTTCATTCTCTCTTTTTAAATTGTTAGTAAAAGAAAAAGAAAAGACTGTTTCACTAATGATTCTAGTTACAAATATTTAGGCACACTTTTCATTGATGAAACAATCTCACAGTGGAACACTACAAATTTAAATGCCTAACAGGAACATAACAATTGCAAACAAAATGTTAAATATTTACAAATGTTTAAAAGCCAGAAAACAGTTTGAAAAATTCATCATATGAAATAGGACAATATTTTTTCTAAGATGATACATTTGAGTTACTTCCTTCAGTTCCTTGTTTACATTCTTATTTGACCAGGCCTTTTGATCCTAAGCCTTTCAAGTGAAGATTTGGGATGGAAAGAGCTTGAATGAACTGATGTATAAAAAGAAATGTTTTCTCTTTAGCCAACTAGAGGAGACAGAAAGTGTGGTTAAAATGTTGAACTAGCCACAGGGTTATATCTACTGACCCAGCACCCAGGAACAGCCCTCTAGACTTTTTTACATTTAACAGCGTAAGGCCAAAATAAACCCCAATCTTCAAACACATTTCAATCAAAATTGACCCAAGAAATCCAGAAGATGCTTCAGACAAACACCACAGGAATTCCTCTGGGAAGACTGATCCCAGGATAGCCTGTCTTTGTCTAGATACCTCTATCAAATTTATCCCCATAAAACTATCCCTGCTACAGGTAGTCCTCAATTTGCAATCATAGTTGGGACCAGATTTTTCAGGGCTAAGCAACCTAGTTGTTAAATGAGACAGGGCCACTTTTATGACTTTTCTGTAACAGCTATTAAGCCATTCTGGTGTCTCCCGTTGACTTTGCTTATCAGAAACTGGCTGAGAAGGTTGCCATGTGTTGATCACATGACCTCCAGATGCTGCAACCATTGTAAAAAAAATGCCAATTGCCAAGAGCCCAAATTTTGAACATATGTGACCATGGGGATACTACGACAGTCATAAGTGCAAGGATTGATTGTAAGTTCATTTTTTTCAGTGCTGTTGTAACTTAAACAAGTGGTTATAAGTTGAGGGCTTGGGTAATTTGGTTCCAAGATCCTATAGGTAGGTTGTACTGTCATAGCTTCCATTTCTTTTTAGAAAGATTGTACCACAACATTTGAGCCATACTTTGAACAATTACTAGCATGAAGAATCAGACTAGGTTTGGCATTCTGGTTTCCATTTTTTTTTAAATTCCAGAAATGGTTATACAATTGAGTATCTAAAATTGGATAACTCATTTCATATCTCTAAGCTGCCAATATTTCTGGGTTTTATTGTTCTGGACAAGGCACTTCCTTCATTATCATCATGGTTGGTGGTAATGTATTCTTTTCCTCAGCAATGGATTTGTCAGGCTACAGAACTTTTTCTCATTCACTCAACTCGAATGAACTTCTGAAAACATATCCAAACGTATCACAAAGGAATCCTTTATTGAGATGAGACAATTCATGTAGGAGTTCAAAGCAGCGTCTGAGGTCTTTCAGGCATACAGGGATACATAAGGGAGTTTAGAACCCCTCCCCTTATCTCGATGTGTATTTAGAGAAACAAAACCCAGTATGTTAATTCCCCTCCCACCCCTTCTGTAGGAACGATCTTTCTCACAGTTTCCCAGGACATACCTAATTTCCCCCCACCCCCTTTTTAGAATGAACTTTTTCCAGAGATTCCCCAGATACATCTCACTGTGGAATTTTTATGATCTTCTCATCTCCTGGCTGTGCCTCTCAGAGGTGATAGTTCTGGCCATCTGGCTTTTCTCCTTCCATTGTATCATGTGTGAGTTACACAAATTCGATATAAGATTAAATATATTCAGGTTATATCAAGAAAGGATTTCTTTATCAGCCTCCCCCCCCCCCCCAATTTTCTTCTTCCACTGAAGAAATGACAGATACATAGATCTGACAGGATTTTTGCTGTGAAACCAAAAACATGTTTTTATTAAATTATTGTATAGTTTTAAATAAATCTGACAATTTCAGGACGAATTGTCCTTAAAACTACAATCACTCTATTCCTATCACTGTGATTTTTCATTTTGTATTTGGATTTTGCAGTATTTTTTTCATTTCACGCTCCAAATACAGGTCACCCCAGAAGCTTCAAGTGGAACATTTGTCTACCAAGGGTTTGTCCATGGCAAAGGTTTTGGACAATTTGGCCTCCAAAGACTAGGTAAGCTGAATAACGTTCAGACCGAAGTTGACCCAAACAATAACTTTAAGGAATTTATATAAGCCACATGACAATTGTGAGATTTTCCATTTATGTTTTAGTGGGTATTAGCTATTGTGTATAATTATTTTTCTTTTGAATTGATTATTTTTCGGCCTTTTCAATGTAATTTTTGTTATCTTGTGAAACTAAGTTTCAGGTGTTATTTAGATAAATTCATTCCCAGAATTTTGCCAAATTCTATCCCCTCTCCATCACTTTTCAGCACTTATTATAGTCATTTTGTCAATGTTATTTATACATCTGTATTGTAGTTTTAAACTGTTCATTGTGTGCATTATGTTAAGTGGGAACACTGTTATGGGGTCTTAGGCTTCAAATCAAACAAATAAAAGGAACATTCAGCTATTCATCTTGGGAAAAACCATAGCAGGCTAACTTTATGTTTTGGTTTGTCTCATAAAAAACAAAATCTTTCTTTGAAATATTTATTTGAAAGATTTCATTGAAGAATGAGAAAGTGACTGTGAATTAATGGATAAGTGTACCAGCACTCTGTCAAGCCTACTAGTTCACGTGAATTTAATTCAATTACCATTCTCATTAATCCCATCAGACGTTATTTAATTAGAGGTGATAGGGATTAAATCTGAGATTTAAATAGTTTGTTATATTTATACGCAGCAGATGTGCCAGGACAGCCCCGGGTCTCCCCTTCCCAATTGTACTTGGCACCAGTAATTTAATGGTGTTTCTTTTTCCAGATAGCAGCATCATTGAACGGGATCCTGAATCAATAGGACATCCATTTGCATCCAACAGCAGCTCAGTTGCAGCTGCGATCCTTGTGCCTTTCATTGCCCTGATGATTGCAGGGTTTGTGCTCTATCTCTACAAGCACAGGTGAGATGTTCCAAGTAGAGAAGGCTGAAAATAACCTCTTAGGGCTTCATAACAAGGATTGCAAGAATAATTATGGGTTTTCTGGTCCAGTGTCCTCCTGATTAAATCTCATTTCTTATGATCCCCATGCAGCATGGCTAGTTGTTAGCCATATCAGGTAGACCAGACTAAGAAACAGACCTCAAGCAGATCTCAGCTACCTGTATCTTAAATAATTACAGTAACAGAATCTTGCAAGTCTGAATGTGCTAAGTTTCCTTCCACTTTTATCTCTATGGAAATTGGAGAGATGGAGGACTTGAAATATTGCTTCCAGTTTTGGTCACCATGATATAAAAAGATGTTGAGACTCTAGAAAGAGTGCAGAGAAGAGCAACCAAGATGATTAGGGGGCTGGAGTCTAAAACATATGAAGAACAGTTGCAGGAATTGGGTATATCTAGTTTAAGGAAAAGAAGGACTAGGGGGTGACAGGATAGCAATCTTTTCAATATTTGAGGGGCTGCCACAAAGAAGAGGGTGTCAACATATTCTTCAAAGCACCAAAAGGCAGGTCAAGAAGCAATAAAGTATCTAAGGAAAGAACCAACCTAGAAATAACCTGACAGTTAGAATAAATTAATCAATGGAACTACTTGCCTCCAGAAATTGTGGGTATTCCAACACTGAAGGTTTTTAAGAAAAGATTGGACAAAAATTTGTCTGAAATGGTATAGGATTTCCTGCCTGAGCAGCAGGTTGGGCTTCCAAATCTGCTATTCTCTTATTCTATCTTAGGCATTTTTGCAAATGCCTGTGCTCAAGTTTATTTTAACTTATTGTTGCCTTGTTTGTGGGCCTTCCTTCTGTTTTTATTTTATTTTATTTATTTATTTATTTTTGTCAATTGTTTACAAGATAATAGATAAAAGTAAAAACATAGTTATGAATACATGGATACATATAAGAAAAGTAAAACAATAAAAGAAACAATAGGACAGGGATGGTAGGCACGTTGGTGCGTTTCTGCACGCCCCCTACAGACAAGAGTTGCAGATTATAGGATAGTTTTTTCCTGAAACCAAATTGTTTATTAGAGAGTAGGTTGTTGTTTCTAAGTGGAGGATGATGGATTGGTTCATAATTGTTTCCATGACTTTACAGGTGACGCAGCATAAGGAGATTGGTCTGTAATTTTCAATTAGGCAGGGGTCTCCCTTTTTGAAGATGGGGATGACCGTGGCTTGTGACTATAGTTTTGGCAAGGAGCTGGTCCTGAAAGATTTTTCAAAGATTATACTTAGAGGTTTGGCTATGGCAGTGGGTAGCTTTTTTAAGAAGTAGGCACAAATTCCATCCGGTCCAATAGATAGAGATGGTTTCAGATTGCATAGTGCTTTTTCAACATTGTCTTCTGTAAAATCGATATTTATTAGATCATTGTAGTTGTTTGTGGTTCAACTAGGAGATACTGGGCATGATCCATTGCTTTTTACAAATACTGAGCCAAAGAATGTGTTAAAGAGGTTGGCTTTAATGGTGTCATCATTGCAGTCTTTACCATTAGGTCCTATCAGGGGTAGGATGGACCTTGAGTCTTTTAGTTTGTTGTTTACAAAATTGTAGAAAGCACGGGTGGAATTGGTGCGTAGAAGGTTTTCTTCTTGTTTAATGTGATAATTGGTGCATTCAGTTTTTATCTGGTGGCATAAATTTTTGTATCTGCTTTTGAAGTTGGCAACGTGACCAGATTTGTTTTTCCACAAAAAAGGATTTCTTTTTGGATTGAAGCTTCCTTATTGTTATGGGTAATTTGTTTTTTGGTTTTTGGTTTTGGGAGTTGTTAATGGTACATATAGTTTGATGACTCTTTTGACTTCAAGTAAAAATATGTTGTAATGGTCTTCTACAGTATTGCATCCAGAGAATAGAAATTGCCAATCAAGGGATGAGAGATCATTGTTTATAAGATCATAGTTGCCTTTTTTGAAGTTATAATTGGGGATTCCATCATTGTGATGACTTTTGTGTGGATGTATGTTGAAACAAAAGTCAATCATGTTGTGGTCACTGTTGGAAAATAGTTCTTTAATTTGTATTCTGTAAATTGAATTCAAACTACTGCAGAAGATGAGATTGAGGCAGTGGTTAAGTCTAGTGTTGTTGGTTACTAGTTGTTCTAGTCCCAGATTTGTTACTGCATTGTAAAAGGTTGCATGTGTGGGTTCAGTTGTCCTTTATTCACTGCATTAGTGTTGAAAGCTACCATCCAATGCCATGAGAAATAGTATCCATTTATTTCATACTTTCTAGCAGCCAACCACATTTGTACTTCTCCAACTAGAAATTTCCTAGAACTAATTTCCTATCAATGAAAACAATTAACCAGTGGAATGGCTTGCCTTTAGAAATTGTGGGTGCCCCAGTGCTGGGGGCTTTTAAGAAGGGACTGGACATCTACTTGTCTGAAATGAAATAGGAGTCTCCTGTTCAAGCAGGGGATTGAACTAGATAATCTCCAAGATCCCTTCTAACCATTACCTAGTAGTTGAATATTCTGTTCAGCAAAGCTAGGCTGATGCCACAGTTAAACTGCACTTTGGGGTTCTTCATTTCAATTAATTTGAACAAGAGAGGTAGAAGAGACCAACAGAATGTTTACAGATTTTAATGCATTGTAGTTTCTATGTGTACCTGTTCTGCAGAGCCCTTCCCCCTATGACCTCTTTGTCCTCTCTGAAACAGAAGGAGACCGAAGGTGCCGTTCAATGGCTATGCTGGCCATGAAAACACCAATGTCCGAGGAACATTTGAAAACCCAATGTATGACCGCAATTTGCAGCCAACAGACATCATGGCCAATGAGGCAGAGTTTACCGTCAGCACTGTGTGCACTGCAGTATAGCACTTACAATTCTGTGTGCAGTAAGTATCACACCTCTATACAAATTTCCCACATATGCTTTTCAGCTACTACCGGGACCCATCAAATTATCGTTAGTCTGGCATTTAATTTGAACAGGGTTGGGTAATAATAATCACTATTATTCACATCTTACTAAGAGAAAATGACTGTCACAGCTGCAGTGACCATTTCTGGCCATAAGAAAGTGGAAATATTATTCAGATCCAATCTTCAGAGATAATTTTTTAATTACCAGCAACAACATTTTGTAAGATAGAGCAGCTTAAAAAATAATATACTACATATCATCCATCCCTCCACCTATGCACCTATCCGTCCATCCATCTGTCCATCTGTCCTTGATGCTGACCTTGATTAGTTTCTGCAGGGCTTAGCATGTTTTGCAGATCCTGCCAATTTGATTAGCTTATGGTTTAAGCCCAGAAAATGGCTTAAATCAATACCAAATTAAGGGTGTTACACAATTGAACTGCCAGCATGTCTAGACAGTAAAAAATGACTGAAGAGTTTTATATTTCTTCAAGATACTTGTTCCAACAGGCTACAAAGGGAGTTTGTTCTGTGTATCAGCCATCACTTAGTTCAGTCAAATATGCTGGCAATGCCACAATAACATCCTGTTAAATTTTCTGTGTGTTTTCAGAGATTGGTTAAGCCATTAATGTTACCATTCCTTTGAGAACTATTTGGGCATTTCTTTAAAAAAAAAAACTCTAGGATGTATTTTTGGATGCAGGGATAGGTAAACTATTTATGGCCAGAGGGGTTATCAAATGTTTTATTTATTTATGGTCTTGGAGTTTGACGGAGTGTTGATAATGTGATGATGTCATGGTGCAGAATCAGGAACCATATTTTCAGGTTTTAAAGGATTATTTGGAACAGTGCTTCAAGAGTATCACTTTAATTATGCTGACAAAAATGTCATAGGTGGGCTGAAGGGATATAGGCCCTAGCCCTCCTTCCCAATTAAAATGATCATCCATCCATCTTTAAAAAAAATAAAAACACAACATAAAAAATTAAGTTAACAGGAACAGTGGCTCGTTCAAGTGAAAGCTTCTTGTGATAGAAATCCCTTTCTCCCTTGCCCCCTCTGTGTGTATGTATGTGTGTCCATTCTCTTCTCCGTGCAGCCTTCTCCAGAGATGGGAATCTCACCAGTGCCCAATGATCCTCCTGGTTCATCTTCGCCCATGATCTCCTCACCCAGAAATGTTGGGGCTGCAGAGTTGATATGGTGCCTTTGAGCTGATCCAGAGAGAGAGAGAAAGAGAGAGAGAGAGACTGCCTTGCTGTTTATCACTGCTCCGCATCTTCATTGCCCATAGTCCTGCCCTCCTGCAACTGATAATCAGATCTACCAAAGCATCCACCCCAGCTCTTGTGCCAAGAACACAAGATGTGGAAATCTATCCTCCTCCCTCTCCTCCAGAGATGCCCCTCCCCATCCTTGAGCCTTTTTCTATCAGTTCCTGGCCAACCTTTGGACTGGCTGTCTGTGCTCAAAGACCATTGATTGTCCCACTGTTTGCCTGTGGTTGATAATCACCTTTCTGGGGGAAACTTCAATATAAGAAAATGCACCCAACTGGCTGCCAGAAGAAACTACACAAGAGGAAGCAGGCACATGCTGCTTGAGGAGATTTGTGGATGCAGAGAACTTGGGCTAAATGTATCCAGCGTATCAAACTCATACAGCAAGTTTAGCATCTGGAGAAATGTTCCTTAGATATATGTTGGTTCTCCTCCTCTCCCTTCACCCTTATATATTTATTTTACATTAATATTCTAGTGCAAGAATGTCACATTTCTGACCCTCCTTGCAATCCTCTGAGAAGGCCTCCCATTCCTACCCTCCAATTTGCATTTTTAGAGCATTTGATCCTTACGTTTTCTAAAGTTGGCAGTCCTTCCCATCTCTAGTTCCAATGATTAGATCAAATCAGAACCACTTCTTTTAAACTAAATGGTTATCGTTGCTTGGTTGCTGCGAGCTTTAGGGTGATCCAGAGAAAATACAGTGATGCCGTTCTTGGTATAAGAAACGGGCCTTTTCCTTTACAGAACTTGGAGAATCCAGTTATTGCTATCTCAGTCCCAGCTCATGCATTTCTTGGAGGTCTGTTACAGTTTGCGAGCTCCTGATCTACAATATTTTCTTTCAGGGGGGGGGAGAGTAGCATCCCAGCCAGGTATTTTCATTGCTTTGTGCAATGGTTTTTGGACCTTGGCAGCATGAGGATCATGAACACCTATGATTCTGTGTCTATGACATCACAAATACCTGATGTGACTAATTTATTTTTCTGATTTATATATATTTCTATATTTCTAAGAAGTCAAATGCCACCTTAGAAGGTTCATTCACTTGATGTTCCAGTTTTTGAAATAAAATGGTAAGTAACTTTCCCTACTGCATTATCACATGCTTTCACTTACCTGTTCTGCTTCATCCTTGGCTATATAAACCCACTGCAGGGCTAAATGGACAACACACCTGTTAGCGAAAGACCTCATTCAGCTATTCCCATCTATTATTATGAGGATCTTGCACTACTGTCCTGGTTTATCTAGGCCCGACATCCAGGGATTTTTTTCTGCCTGGTTCTCCTCATGAGGCTGCCTTATACCAATTCACTTATCTACTGCAGCATTATCTACACCAGTAGCAACAGAAAGGGGCCGGGACTGCCTGTTACCAACAAGCTTCCGGTGGTTCACCATCAGGCATTGAGCACCATTCCATGTTCTTTAAGATGCCAAGGATGGAGTCTAAGAAACTTTGCATACAAAAGTAACGTCTTATGACCTTTCCCCAAGAGCCTGATAGAGTCTCATCTCAGGTTATCTAAGAGTTTTCAAATGCAGTCAACAAGGCTGCCAACCCATCACTCTTGGCTTCCATCCCATCCTACTGCAAAGGTGAGCACAATCTATGCCATGACATCATTGCCCTAAGCCCTTCCCACTGCAAAAGCCCATGCTGCAGAGAAGGGGACAGCATAGCACAATGGGATCAAGAGTAGAATTAACTCAGGCATTGCAAAGAACAAAGAGCCAGGCCTACAGAGCAGCAGTGGCCTCATGTTGCTCCTACCATCTAGTCAAGCTTTCAGTTTCTAGAGTCTAGAGAATATGAAGAAACCCAGGACAGGTTTAAGACTGACATCCATCTCCCAAAGGTGCTTTTTCCAAAAGACAAATGGACTTTCTGGAGTTTTTTTTTACTTTTCTTTCAGCATTGCATTTTTTTTCTTTAAACATTTTTTAAACATTTCATCTCTCATCCAAGAAGCTCTGATAGAACTGAAGAAGCCTTTCAGTTGAGAAGTGAAACACTCAAAGAAAAAACCCCCCAAGAAATTCCAATTGCCTTTTAGAAAAAAGCACCTTTGGTACAGCCATGACCTGAATGGTTGAGAACCTCCATGGACTGACACCCATGGTACAACTGAAATAAATTGAGGATAGAGGAAGAGAGGAACTCTTCCTTGCCCAACCCATTGAGTTTGTATCTTCAATTTTAAATATATCTTCCGTAGACCCAGCCAGGTTAACTACAGGTTAACTAATGAATAAAAGAGTCAAGATGGAACACGGAAATTGCTTCTACCTGCCATAATTTCACCAAATGGTTATTCCTCATGGAAATGGAGTGAGCATCCTGGCCCAAGGCACTTTCCAGATGCTCCTCCATCATTACCATACAAGAATGATAGCTCCGAGAGAAGAGTTTGAAGAACACCCTTTCGTTGTCTAGCTGGCTCATTCTGTGGCTAAACCACAGAAACCACGAAAACCAGCAGCTTTTGTAGCGTGAGTGCAAGCTAAGAACCGAGCATCACACAGGTTGACAAGCTCAGGCTTCCCCAGACTTGGGTCCCCTAAGTTGGTTGGGAGTTACAAGCCCAACACTTGCAGGACACAAATTAGGAAAGATTGTTGAAGCTATTCTTCAAAAGGGTCTGGAGAAAATGCATCCTTGAAACCCAGTCCTAAAAATCATAGGATTTCATTTCATGTTTTGTTTCATCTTTCTTACTTCTATCCCATATTCTTTTTTCTCTGTTCACCTGTTTATTCATTCATTCTGTGTGTGTATGGAAAGATAAGGAATTGCTGATACCCAAAAAGAAAGAGGAGTGACACAGAAGCTTTTGAAACATCTTCCTAGAGAGTTTGAAGGCCAGCTTAAGGCAACCGTGGGAGCTCTTTTGTTTTTCCTCATTAATTGACCAGTTCTGTTCACATAAAAGGCAAGAGAAAGCAGGAGGCAATCATTTTCATGATTAACAAGGTTAATATCTCCTGTTAGGAAAAAGCAGGATTTTTCTTCTTCTTCTGCCTTACAATTTTGGAACATCTGTTCATCCCAGCCTTTTCCAGAAGCAGGCCTGAGCTGTCTTGTTGAACAAAGTGTCTTGCACAAAAGGTGGAAGATGTTAGGTTTCTTTGCTGCCTTTGCTTCTTAGTCAAACAATTTGACTAAACCCAGCCGATAACAAATTATTACATACTGCATAAATAAAATGGATAGGGCAAGTACCTAGGTCAGAGCTCCTTGGTGCTCTCTGAGCTTGGTTGGTTTTTTGCAGGTTTCATTACCCAAACTCGATCAATTACCTAGTTTGGGTAACAAAATATCTGCAAGGAAACAACCAAGGTCAAAGAGCACCAAGGACCTCTGAGCTATAAATATTCTTCTGTATTGGCAATATATTAATAACTACCCACTTGACCTTAAAAATCCCATCTTGACCCTGTTGAATTTTCCAGGCCTGTATAAACAAATTTGCAAGGGTTTAGACCAACTTTCCATGCAACTGGAGGGCATTAATTAGACTGAGGATGAGACAAATGTAAATGGATGGATTTTCAACACAGCTACAGATGGAGCTTGCGGGATTCTTTTTCAGGGGAATGCAGTAGCGTATATAATTGTTGATATTCAGAGAACAGCTTATCTCACCCAGCAT